CAGGTTGACCTGCCATTCAAATTACCCCCCCCCCATTTGGGGGAAGGGGCCACATTTGCACCCAATTGTTGTTACTAATATTGATTTTTCAGGTGGGCTGAATTTAAACTGCTCCAATTGAATGGCAAAAATTCCCAGTAATGAAACACCCGGGTGAAGACAGGTTATACTGCTAGTTTCATATATGACAGTAAATGCCAGGCAATCGCTTCACAGATGAAGAAACTTGAAATAACAGATGTGGTTATTCCAACAAATTCAGAGAATGTCATGGAGATGTGAGAAAGTTTTAAAGAGAAACTGCTGTTAACAACTGAAGTATTTGGGAATACACAACAAGGAAAGACCAATGAGAACTTAAGACCTACAGGGGCAAGAGCTAATGCAACAAGAGACAGGAAGTTGTGGAGAGATATGATCACCTGTTATGAAGGGACACAAAGAATCATTGACAGTAAGAGTAGATATTGATAAACCAGAAATGTCTTTTTTGTAAGTGTCAACATTGACCTTTGACCCTAGGTTATAAATAGACATTCTATTGCATCACTAATTTAGACACAAAAATGAACAAAAGAGGCCCTCATAAATAAAGGGCTTTTGCTTTCAGTATTGGACATTTCCCCCCTCTCCCCCCTCCTTGTCACAAAGCTTTTAGTTTGGGACATTTTCTTTTTTGGTAGCAAGTGATATGATGACTGTATTTGTATCCAAGATAGTAATGATCCCCATGTGTATGTTAAAGAATAGAGAGGCTTGTGTATAGCTGAAGGTAGATATACCCTTTTTGATTTTGGAATAGACAGAAATAAACTGATTAGGTTTTTATCCCTGTAGAGTCAGATTAAGGAGAAACTAATTAAGTAGGATAATTGACTCTAATAAACTGATCCAATGAAAAGAGTCCATAACGATCAAACATAAACTTGCAGTTAACCAGATAGACTGAACATAAACTAAGCATGCTCACCCTCACAACCACTTGAATGAGCTGGGGAAAATGGCAAGATGATGCGGCTAACTTTAGATTAATTAGCCTGAGAAAATCTTAAAATTTGGTATGGAAAGTGTTAGCCGGTAAATGCTGTGCCATTGTCAGTCAGGATCTCGACACGTGGACCATGCTCATAAAATATGGACTCCAGCTGGCATACAACACTTATCAAGTCCTGTCAACAGCAAATCACGAGGAACCACAATCAATAAGTGTAAGATAGTGGCCACGGCCATAATAAGTGATGTCCACTCTTAAGCTGCTCCAATTGTCCTTCACATTGTCTCCCTTTTTGCCACTGTACAGGCACAGGATCGATTGACTAGCACGTCTCACATGTCTTCACTGCATACATTGGCTGGGTGGGCTCAACTTCTGTTTTTACTCTGCTCAGCTACTGCTGAGGTACTCTTGCTAGTTGGTCAGCTTTGTTGTCGTCTGTCTTGACTAGTGTTATATTCACTGATAGCACATATACTCATTAATCAGGTGTACAAATATGTCGAGCTGTCTTCGTAGCAACAAGTCACTGATTGCCTTGGTGATTAGTTGTGACTTCCCTGTTAGGGCATTTGAGATCCACCAGTGGATGCTGAATCTCTTATGAGATGTAGCGTCTTCTCCTGCCACTGGAGCACCAAATTAATCTGTTGCATGTTATTCGCTGGGTGCAACCAGCACACATCTTCAATAACTGAGCCATAAGCTTCCAGCACGATCCCAGTGGGAACAGAACTTACATCCACCGAAACCATGAATTCACATCTGTTTATATACCAATCGTCTCTACTATCATGCTCCTTCTGTCATCCCAGCCAGTTGTAACCTTGTTGGCATAACATTTCATATATGTTGTCACCATGCAAAGTCGGCTACAAATGGGGAAAAGGACCAACAAGTTTTCCGAACATTGAGAAGATGATCCACCATGTTATATATAACAGGTGGGGACTCTGGAATGTCTCCTCCTCAATCCCAGCATAGTCTGCTGCCATCATTTTAGACATGCAGTCCAAGAACTCATGCCTCATCTTGAAGGTCAGTCCAAATTTTGCCAGGTGTTCCTTCACCTGATCAGTGGATGCTAGACGTTTGTTGATGAAGACATTGTTGATGTATGACAACATAGCTTGTTTTATTGCTCTATCCTGGGACATCACTTAGCTCATAATGGATCACATTATCATTGGTGCAACGTTCAGGCTAAATCCAAGTCGCACAAGGTAATACCTCTGCCCCATAACATTACTGTCTGATAGGACCATAATTATTTATGTGTACCTGAAAATATGCCCTCCTCAGGTCCAATGTATCAACATCAGATCCCTCCTGCAACTTCTATATGCATACATTGTCATTTGCCGTAAATATATTGATGAAGACATTGAGCTCCCTGTAATCCATAACGAGTCACACTTTGCTCTTGTTTGCTTGGACTACTGCCATTAAAAGAATTAAGGCCTTAGCTGGACCTAGTTCTTTTTCAGGGTATGGCACCAGCCAACCATTTTCCAGCCATAACTTTAGTTCATTTTTGTATTCAGTTGGAATATGCCTAGACACAGGGTACTCCAGGACTCGACCAATCTCTGGCCATGTGGCCCCGGCCTCTGCACCTGTAATAGGTGATGTGGCTATAATCATATCTTTGTCAGCACCCTTGCCCTTGTCACAAATCTCCCATGGTTAATGTTGCAATTCCATTGAGATGTCATTGAGGAACCCTCACAAATGCTAGCTTCATCACCACTTCAAGATTGTGTTCAGTGAACCCTGCCGTTCTTGCAAGTTGTATTTTGTCAGCATAAACGTCCACTGCCCACCTAACCAGTTTAATCTTTGCATAAGCAGAGAATGCCCTGTCCAAAAAAAACGCCTTCAACCGGGCTTCAATCAGATCAATGTTCATCTGCTGATCCTTGTCCATCTCCAAATAGAGTTGGAATGTATCTCCTTTCAAATAAAGTTAAAAGCTTGCCACATTTTCTATTTTCTTGAGTTTTGCCACCTGCCACACCTTCTTGAGCCATGCCACTACATCTCTGCCACCATGAAAGGGCTTTATTATGTTGCTGTTGAGTTTCACTTTTGTCATTTTGGGGCAGTCAGTAAATAAGTACAACTGCCAAAATAACTTGATGTTAAAAGAAAGCAAAGCAAAGAAAAAAAAGAAAAGACTTGGTCACTCATCTCAGTTTCTTGCCCGTCCTGGCCATCCTTAGAAACCCCGTCAAGAACGCCTTTCTCCCAACTCACCAGTGTCGATCTTGTTCATTCCTTTATTGTATTGCCAAGTACTTGATCTGGATGTTTGGATTAAATTCACATACGGATATGCAAATCAAGTTACTCTACCAACATCCTGGTTTGTCTATTGTGTGTCCATTCTACTTTAATAAATCAACCTCAACCGCTTAATGTGAGGCTCAGGTTTAAATCTCACTGAAATCAATTCTACTTAGTTACAAACAACGCATGTTGCCTTGCAAATTCTTTTTGCAGCGGACAAACAATGCCTTCTCTCTGCAACTCTTTCATTACATATTTATATATACAGGTCAGTAATGCATTGTCGGTAGTCTATTGTATTATTCTAAAACGGTTGTTTTAGTCGTCATTAACAGTTTCAAATTATTCTAGGGGTTATTGAACGGGAATAATTGTGGATTTGAATGCAGTTTTGGGGCTTTTTATAGTGTTGTTAACTTTTTTATTTGTTATTATTTTATTGTTGGTTATTATTACTGCATTTTCTTGTGTTTATCTGTGTGTATGTAGTTAATTTGTTTATTATTTACTTAGTCTATTTATTTGGATTAGTTGATTTTACTTGTTTTTGTTTGTATATCTTTATTCGTTTTCAATTTTTAAGTAATGTAGTAAAATTTGTTCTCATGTCTGCATTTTGAGATGAGTTCTGATCATTTATTTAGTAGTTTATTTTGGTCTGGGAAGGTAATTATAGCAATTTTTTCCTCCAGACAGTTTAGAGTCTTTGGATTGATTATTGTAGGCTGATGATTTCCTTATTCTCAATGATATTTTTGGTGTGATTTGCTTTTTGCTTTTAGTCTTCCAGATATGATTAAAAAGCATTCTGTTGTTCATTTATTTACTCTTCATTAAGGATGTTTTGTGTACATAGTTTCTTTGTTTCCAGGGTCCTTCAGTTACTCCTGTATATATTTTTCTTCATTAACTGTTGATTTTACAGTGGCTTGGTATATTACATTGTTCTGCAAGCAATTGCCATTTAAGGGACATTTGTTCTTTTGTTGTGTTTAGTTTGTTTTAGGTGGCTTATTTATGTGTAATATATATATACACACACACACACATATATATATATATATATATATATATATATATATATATATATATGTGTGTGTGTGGTGTAGAGTGAGAAATCAGAGAACCGAGTTCAAATTCCAGCCAAGTTTATGTTCACTTATGTGCAAATACCTTGGGAAAGGTATGAATTCTTCTGTTTCCCCCCTAGATATGGATTAAAGCAGACTGGGCTCTTTAGCCTTGGTTGGCAACCAGCCTAGGAAAAGGACAACGCTGAATTCAAGACTTGATTAGAGTCATTTAGAGACCTTGTGGCATACTGTGTACACTCGTTCTCTGTATTTGGTTCCTCCAAAAAATGTGGTTGGTGCTGCTCAAACCTTCATCACTTTACCATAATCAAATCATATGTTTGGATAGCCTGGCTGTTCAGTTTTAAGAACTGAGCTGCTGAGCCCTCATAAATCCAAGGTAACAGAAAGTCCATTTTCACTCGGCCCAAAATCAAATTATTTTATAAGCAGATTAACTTGTGATGTTATGAAAGGAAAAAGTTTATTCTCTGAATAATTGCATAAAGGGTTAAAATAGAAAATACATTTTGCTCATATATGCTGATTATTTGCCCTATTTTCTTAAGTTTTGTTAGCAACAGCAAACTGCTTTAAACTAATGTGTTTGTCTTTCTGTTCCTCTTTAGAGCTAAGCATCAATCATGAGGCGTGCTCGAATCCAGGTGAAACCAATATTGAACTCCCGCCTGGTTAGGCCCACTTCAGATAATAAAGCGGAGGGCAAGGAAGATGGATCTCACCCGAAACCTGCTGAAGAAGGTACCTCTGGCAGTGTACCCACAGCAGTTGAGACTAATTCATCAACTTCAAGGTATATATCAAATGCTCACTATGTCCGTGTACTTATTTTTTTTTTCTTTCTTTAAATAAATAAAAGAAAAACAAAACCATTTTGAAAATTGTCACTAATCAAAACAGAATAACCAACAGAAACTCATCTTGAGATGTATAAAGGGATGCTGAAAAGTTCTTGGCTTGATCCGCTTCTCAAATTCTAGCCAGATGGTCATTTTTTTTTTCTCTTTTCCCCAAGAGCTTTTTAGTTGGGCCAAGAACTTTTCAGCATCTCTTCATACAGCCTTCATGTATATTTTATGTAAATATTTGGAACTATCTTGTAATTCTGCTTGTCCCTGCCTTAGCATGAACATTACATCCTGCCTGTACCTCATAAATAATGGACTATTCTATTTTGCAAAGACATATCAGAGACGTTACTTGCTTTCAGTGAGATAATATATGAAAGAAGAGATCATAGAAGAATATAATGTCTGTTTCAGTGAAATGGAAAAAGTTATCAATTTCAAATCTTTTCATTTGTACCCTCTTACTTCTTAAAATAATGACCAGCATTCATATTTATGATTGTTATTGTAATATTTTGTTAAAGTTGTTAAGCTCAAATATTTAACGATGTGATAACAGAATTTCTATTTTATATACTTTATTATCATAGAACCCGGTTCAATCATTAACTAAAGAATTAAGATTTATCAAAAAAATTAAAATGGGGAAAACCATGAAATTTTCATGGGTTCATCTGGTATTAAATATTTTACAAGTGATCAAAAACTTCTTTTCTACACACAATAGTGTCAGAAATTCTACATTTTGAAAAATATTTTTTTTTTATTATCACCTAGGATTAAAATGAAAAATCAAAAACTCCATGAAAAGTTAAGGATCTTGGAAGTTAATCGGAAGTGTGTCAGACAAAATATTTAGTTTTTCCTAGTAATCTTCATATTCTTCTTTCTTCTTTTTTTTTCTTTCCCTAGTGCCCCTAAACTGAATTTCCGAAGACCAGCCTTCTCAGTGCGTCCCAAGCCTAGTATACGAGGGTTGGGTGTTCCAAATTTGCATGGATCTCAGTCTGCTTCCATTGTGCTTTCATCCTCTTCCAAAACTGAAGAAAATGTTGTTTCCGGTGATGCTGCAGAGTCGGCCATTTTGAAGAAACCAGAAGAACCAGTGTCCGTTCCAGTGCCTTTTGATGTTAAGGAAGATTCTGCAAGAACACTTGAAAAAGAAGTGTCGGTTGAGGCTGAAAGTGGAAATACAGAAAAACACATATCAAAAGATAAAGAGTAAGTAAAAAAAAAAAAAATCCAAAAACCTTGTGTTCCTGTTTTAATGTTGATAGATTTTAATATATTAATCTTCCATGGATTTTTATGTTCATTTATGTTATTAATCTAAGCATTGCATTACACTTGGAAATAAAAGTTCAATTGTGGAATTCTCTTCCAGACTCTTGTTACCCAGTCAACTTTGATCTTTGAAAATTTAAATGCAATGCCAATCATTATCTTCTGTCTGCTTGTTCTTTTCTTGTTCTCTCTCCTTAAGTGTTTTTATTTTCTCATTCTCTGACAGTAACCCCTTGCATCTTAGTAGCTTTTTTGCCTTACTTAAGGTAAAATTATTAAAAAGAAAAAAAAAACTCATCTGATATAATTTTTCCTTTTAGCATCTAAGTATGTTTACAAAAAAATGTAGTACAGTGAAGTGAACAGTAAAACGTGGTATTATGCACCTGCACTTAGTTGCGGCACCAAATATATACACGTAATTGGTCACAATATTACTTATTATTATCTGTGTCACCAACTACCAAGTGACATTTTCCATCCATTTGAAATTTTGACCCATCACCAGTTTCCATATACAGTCTAGTGTTTTGTTATTGTCTACCCATTGGGATGTGATTATTGACATACTCTTCTGTATATTCCAATCAGCCATTTTCTTTTGACTGGATCCTTTCTCAAAAGGCAAAAGCATAACAAGTAAAAAAAAAAATAAACACTTATGTAAAAGTTACCAAAAATTTAATACCATAGGCTGTAAAAAATTACAATCACTCTTGGTCAATTTTCTACTAACATCTTTGAAGTACCAAGAAAGGTGTGGCGGACATGAGACAGAACCTGGGACGAGCACAACTGGTCGCGACTTGCCTTGTCCCCGCCAAAAAAGAGCCCGTATTTGCTTAGCATGTAAAGCTACTGCAGTTGAAATGAGGGAGAGAAAAAAGCACTTACCGCTCTGCCGTAATCCATCCTCAGCCAGATAACGTAAAAGAATGAGGGGGGACTGGCATCGCATTTTTATGCAATAGAAGACGCAAGGGATTATGGGTATATGAACAACTATAAAAGCAACTACTTTTTTCCGAGTCGGGGAGTTCTTCGAGGGACGTTCACAGTTGACGGCAAGAACGGGCAGTTAGTGTGATTTGGAGACAGAACTCAAGAAGGAACGACTCAAGGTTGAAATACCAGTTGGGAGAGCTTGAATTTACTCGCTGGTTACTGTTTTCTTTATTCGCCTCGGTTAGACATTTGAACCTTGTGTGTTGGAGATTCTTTCAGCTTGAGGAGAGAAGAATAGAAAAGAGAGACAAAGTTCTTTTGCAGCAAAAAAAAAAAAATCCTTGAGCACAAACTCTGATATTTGTCCATTGATAGATATTTATCTCCAAACAAAGAATTTCCTATTAATGACACATGTAATTACATTTCTAAAGTACCTCCAATCAGATAGAACTGGTGTGTTTGGTCAGATTCTGGTTTCAGACATTTTGGTAAGAATAAATGTGAATTTGGCTGAATAGTTTGTTAAATAAACACTTCTTTGAATCGACTGAGTTTTGCAGAATTTTGGTAAAAACGTTAATCTTTTTACAACAACTTTCTTGGGGGATGAGAAGTGGGCTAGGAAAAATTCAGTTTACTAAATCTTACTAGGTTTATTTTGGGGGTCAAATCCCAGCAATGGAATTTTTATAAGCATTTTATAGGTTCTAGTTAATATTTTTTAAACCAAACCTATCAGGTTCCAGTCTGATTAACTAGTCTTCTATATTAGATTTTCTAGTTCCTTTTACAGTCTATTTCAACTCTATACTCCTAATGATCCAAGGAGCGTCTGCATCGGTAACCGGCGGCTTCTGGTCGTTCCTGTCTCTGCGGGAATCCCGCGGCAAGCAAGAACGTTATTCGAGTAGGCCTGGGTACCCTACTTCTGTAATTTATCCCAAGAATCTTCTTCTCATAACAGGAAGAAGCTGGCTCAATCCGCCCAGGGTGAATGCCACATCAGTACAGTACAGTATACTCCTAATGTCTGCCTAAACTTTGAAATTTTTTTCCCCTTCAATAGAAGTATATAGATTCACATTATCCAGTTTATACGCCTCCTCACTTTTCCTTCTTTTTCACTCCCAGTAGCCGCTTGCATCTTAGTGGCATTATCACCTTGCTGGGAATGAATTGATTAAAAAAAAAAAGGATTTTCTCCATCTGGCATTTCTATTCCTTCACCTTGTATTCTTGGCTCTCTCAATATCTCAAGTCACTAAAATGACATTTCCTGTATTATTATGACACCATCAGGGCCATTTTTCTGTTGCTATATTAGGGGAGTTGTTTGGGTTTGCTCCCCTCCACTTATCCTGTTCCCCAAAATATTTGAAGAAACTGTATTAACTGTATATCCAGTTCACTAATATTTTGCCACAAATATATATATGGTAAACACTTAAAAGGTTTGGAACTTATCCTACTGATTCAAAGTTTCCCAGATAGTGTTTACTCATCAGGGTTTTAGATAGTTAAATTTAATTATATAAAACCCTGAGAAGCAAATATCATCTATGAAACTTGGAGTTGGGCAGGCAAGTTTTAAATATTTTATTCATTTACTATTCATGCTTTATTTCTTGATCTTGAGCACTTGCAAAGGGTGCTTGCCTTTTAAAAATGTTCTTCTCCAGAAATATATTTTTCTTTCAGTCAATGTGTCTTCCAACATTTTCCTCTCTCAATATTATGTCTACTTAACTGTCCACCATTTTATGTTCATCCTCTCAGCATTGATATCTCCCTCCATAGGATCTCTTTGCCCTCAAAAGTGCTCATCATTATTATTGTTGTTGTTGGTGGTGGTGGTATTTATCTTCTAATTCCCATCCTAAATAAGCATTTAACAAACTAATTAACTGGTATCTAAACTAGAGAATGGATGTTCTCTAGTTTGAATATTTTGAACACTTCATTTTTTTTACTTTCATATATTTTGAAGTGAACTTTAAATTTATATACCTGCTTTTGTTAGGTAGGGGTAGGGTGATTATAAAGTCATAAAGTGTAGGAAAATAATTGTTGTATTTATGTCTATATACAGGATATTCTTTGTATATATTTCATGTTTTTTATTGAGATGACCTATTGATGCACAGTAAAATTTTTCTAAAAATCCAAAATTTTCGGATACTGTAGTTTCCTTGGTGTTTGGCATTGATTCCTATTAACTAAATAAAAAAGCGCCTTGGTCACCACTTCACTTTTTCTATAATATAAGGAGCATACATGGATACTGACTATCTATCTATATATATATCTATATATATATCTATATATATATCTATATATATATCTATATATATATCTATATATATATATATATATATATATATATATATATATATATATATATATATATATATATATATATATATATATATATATATATATATATATATATATATATATATATATATATATATATATATATATATATATATATATATATATATATATATATATATATATATATATATATATATATATATATATATATATATATATATATATATATATATATATATATATATATATATATATATATATATATATATATATATATATATATATATATATATATATATATATATATATAAATTTCTCAGAATAATTCTGAAGATAAGACAATTTGGATAAAAAAAGAAGACAACTGGAAAATATTTCTTAGTCATTGTTGATGCATTTGTCAATCCAACTTTATTATGGCAAGTTTAAATGCAAAATGTTCTTTAGTTACTTTAAATTCAAAATATTGAAAAAGGAACGCACCTGTGTAAACCACCTTCTGGATACTGGTAACTTTTTTTTTTTTTTTTTTACTAAGAATTTGTTTTAGCTTTCCATGTCAACATATTGTTAATTCTGAAGATAAGACAATTTGGATTTAAAAAAAAAAAAAAGACAATGACTAAGAAATTTATTTTCTGATTGTCTCTTTAGTTTGTAGATATGGGTTTTTAGATCACATGATGTTTCCCCCACATAAATGTTTTTGCACTGTAGACACTTTATATGATAAGTTCCAGCATTTGAAATGGATGTTTGGTTTCTTTTTCTTCCTGATTATATCCCCAATTGTCTTGGAGGTGGTGGTAACAATCCTAGTGTTAGAGATGGCCAATTTGTTTGAGTTTAGTCGAAAGGTCATTGGAGGGCAAGATTATGAATTTTGTGTAATTTTTGGAAGTATCTGTTTTGCTACATGGATATTGTGAGCTCATTTTTTAACATTGAGGATGACATGATGAGGGTAGTAGAGAAGCTTGAATGTTTTCTCAATATATTCCTCTTCTTCATTTTGGTATTCAGGGCTGCATATCCTAAGTTCTCTGAGGTATGATTAGTTCAGATTTTATTCTCTGGTTATGGTGGGAATAGAAATTGATTAGGTCATTTTTATTTTGGGTTTTCAGTAAACTTTAAAATCTAATTACAGTACTGTGTTTCTTTGCTTTTTTTCATTTTTATCTCGATCTCTGATGAAAGCTTTAATAAAAATGAAATTTGTTAGACTGAGATAAATTTCCTACTTGTTCTTTATTTTATTGTGTGTGTGTGTGTATATATATATATATATATATATATATATATATATATATATATATATAATTACAAATATGACACTATAACTAAGGAAAAAAACGAATTTAGTTATAACTTTTAAGAGGTTTTGAAGAATATTGACAAATGAAAATATAACAGTTCTAAAACTTTTCTCTTGTTTTTAGCAACAAACTTTGTTTCAAATTACCTCCCTTTAGAAAGTATATTTTTCAATTGGCTTTTTGTTTTCTTTCTTTAATTGCAATGAAGGACACCTAGCTCATTTCAAAGAAGATCAAAGTTTCAAATTAGGCCAAAGATTCAATCTAAACCTTCTCTTCCACCAACTGATCTTCAGCCACCAGAACAAAATATTAAAGGAAAAGTGTCTGCCACTTCTGAAAAAGCTTCAAAAGATATACAAGAAAATAAGTCGAGTCTTTGCTCAAATGAGACAATCAAAACAAGGTAAGGAAATATATCTTTTGGTCTTTAAAGTTAACCTAATGTTTTTATACTTCATGGCTATTACCATAGTCTTCATAATATATAAGATGATGATTTACATCATTTAAGACATGTTTGAGAGAACCCTTGCTACAGAAATACAACTTATTTAAAATTCAGAAATGTGATAGAAGAAACTGCTAGCATTGAACTTATGGTTACATTTAGCAATTTCACCTGTAAATTGACGAGACCTAGCTGCCAATCTAGTACTGCACTTAAAATCAAAAAGTTGTGGTACCATAGAGGACAGTTCATCAAAACAATTATCATGAAAATATTTATGGAAAAAGCACATGGAAGCTATATTATGGTGATGTGAAAGTGACTGATGCCAGGTCAGGACCAATAACATTGCAGATTTTTCTTTGTATATAGTGAAGAATTTCTAAATATACAGCAGGAGTACCAGACCAGATGAGGCAGCTATATTCAATACATGGCCAAATGGTAGACTTATAAATGTCTAAGATAGATTCTGGCAAGAATTTGATATGCATATAATATCCCTATAACTGTTACCCTTCAAAATGGAATTATTTGACAACTGTGGCATAATAGATAAATGTTTGAGTAATTTTGTGTAAGAGTTTGGTTCCTGGCATTGTAGATGAATATTCAGTGTAGTTGATGTCCTATTTTGTCTGTTATCTTTAAGCAACTAATCTTACTATTTCTTGTTCTAAGCAAAAAAAAAAAAAAAAAATATTCCTATAATTATGCAATTAACCTAAAATAAGAGGTTTTTTTTTTTTTTGGTTTTTATTTGTTGACATTTCTACTTTCAGTAAATCCATTCCAATTACAAAATCTCAATTCCTTTCTTGCCCTGAACTTGGCACGAAAACAACCAAATCACCTGCTGCAGCTGAATCGTCTGCAAACCAAGTATCTGATACTTCTGTGCTTCTCCCTGTTGTTGACACAGAAACTGCTGTTGGCAAAGAGAAACAATACAATACTAAAGACATTTCTAAACCAAGCCCCACTACACTGGAAAAGTAAGTTGATAAATGCTATGTTTGATCAAGAAATGTTCAGGAACAGAAGGTATCTTACCAATTCTATACCAAAGAGAAATCATTTGAAAAAAAGAAAAGCTCGTGAGGGGAACTGTTTTAGATGTCAATCACTCTTCCATGCGGCAGGTTGTACTGGGTTATATGTTACCAGTAGTAAGCCTGAGCTTGACCTGATCCACATCACCCTGACCTGTGTGTGTGTGTGTGTGTGTGTGTGTGTATAGCACCATCCTTACATTCTGCAAGAACATCCAAAAAGTGGTAGCATACCATTACACTCAGCATCTATAGTAAACTGAAGGGATAGGTGAAGAGAATCAAATTCTTCAAAAAAGTCAGTGGCATCAGTAGCAGAATCAAAAATAGAAAAGGTATCATCAATGTACCACATATAAACATAGGGCTTCTGGCACTTTTTCAAAACAAAAGTCCTTCATGAAAACCTACAAAAATATTAGCTAGTATGGGACCTAAAGGACTACCCATTGAAAACCTGTCTGTCTGGGCATAAATGATATTGTCAAAACTGAATTCAACCTCCTCAGTCACGAGATGCATGCATTCTATAAACAAGTTTTCAGGAATGCTGACGGGACACAAAGTACCTCTATAAAGAGCATCAGAACATATATTAGTGTCCTGAAGAGGCACATGGGAATACAAACTGATGATGTCAAGACACCATAAGTTTATCATCTGCACCAATTTCCAAATATCTAACAAAATTTGAAAACTTGAATGAGTCAGAAACATTATGGTTTAAAAAGAGATCAGATAGAGGCTGGAGCAGTTTGGCCAACCATTTAGCCAACTTGTGTTGCACAGACCCTATCACAGATAAAATAGGTCTGACTGATTTGTTCTTCTAGCATGTTAAATGAAGAACTTGCAAGGATCCAAGAAATCTTTATAGAAAATGGTTTTCCTACTAAGATCATTAAGTGCATTATTGAACGTAAAATCAGACGGTTTAAAGAGCCAGTGGTTTTAGAACCCAGCTGGTGCCCAATTTCCTGAAATTGTCATGGCTAGACAGGAAATGCCAGTTGATTACTGACAGTTTCGGCATGCATTACTTTGTGCTAAAACACTGTTAAGTTGCACATAGTCTTTCAAACTAGATTTCCAGCCTTTAGCAAAGATCAGTTGTCCTATCTTTAGAATAGTTCTGTTATATTTAAATGTTGTTGTGATGCAGTATACATAGAATGAACCAATCAATGGCTGGAAACTCACATTACGCAGCACATGCCTGCCTATTTGTGTTCGAGTGGTCAGTCATATGCAAAGAACCATTCAATCTATGGGTAACATTTATTAGACAATCCTGACTGCTGCCGATTACAGTGACAAGTTATTTTCAATCTTACATAGCGCTCGCTCAGGCCAACATCTTCGAGTTCTTGAGGCTGTTTATATTAAATTTCATAAATCAAGCCTATGTAAGCAAAAGTAACACTTCATTCGTTCCTTATGCTTACTTTTTGATTAAAAGTATTAAAATACTGGGGTGAATCTGTAGCTCAGTTTTAAATATAATTTTTCTAAGCATGGCTTAGATATGTCCTGAGGCCAAAAGCATGAGGCACACAGTGAGGATCAAACTCACTATTTAGTCATAATTTTTCTAGCAAGGCAAGCATGCTAACCATTACATCATGTGAAAGTGCCCAACCTCAGTTTTAAATATGATGCAATAGTTATTAATTTTTTTTAATGTATTCAAGGTGATGTGAACCTGAAGTTATTTTTCTATGTAAATGTTTGGGATGTCACATGAATATGTTATAATGTTTCCAATCCCATATAATTTATTTGGGTTTTGGAAATTTAAATAAATTTTAAATTGCCCGTTCGGAATTAAATAATAAATTTTAAATTGCCCGTTTAAAGTTAAAACAACCAATGATCAACAAAATCTTTTTATTAAGAGATTTTGTTGATTATTGATATGAAAACTACTATAGATTGTCTATCAATAATTTTGATTGTCCATATTTCTGTTCTGGGTTATCTCCCCTATATCAGCTGTTTATACTATTTATTTTGGTAATTTTAACCGAAACTTATTTTCTGTCGTTTTGCTTGCATTTGTGTTTTATATTTGAAAATCGATCTCTGTTATCATATTGTTATCATCATCCCCTCGATTTTTGTAATCGTAGTGCGGCGGGGGGGGGGTGATTTGGATGCAGAAGCCACACTAAATCTCCCTACAACGTTCAATCAACAGCAGCAATATTAATAAACAAATTTTAAAAATTTCTCCTTAATAATAATGTTTTAATTTTAGACATTATAAACTGAATATTGTTCAAGAATTTAAAAAAAAAAAATTGAGAAATGCACACAATGAAAATAATTCTTTTATATTCTTTGTTCATAACATTATTTTAATTTTTAAACTTAGTTTCTTCCAAATCACATGTTTATTAAATACCCTCTTCAAATATTTGTCTGACTATTCAAGTAACTTCCAAAAATTCACAGAACTCCATTGTTATCAAAATCAGTCCCCTGAAAAGGTGTAATCATTGTCATCAAAATTAGTCTCATGATTGGGTGTGGTCATATTGACTGGTTCCGTGTATATATCTTGGTTGAAAGCCTGGGGAGGTATTTATTCAGGTATAGCATGTCTTGGGCAAGTAGTCCTCCAACCTGAAGGCTTGTTTTGGTCATGGATATGTGACTGTTGATATCATCTGGAAGGCTCTCAGTTCTGGCCATAGACTTCAGTCTAAGAAGGCCATCACCCAGTATTACTGTGTCATCATCACACTAGCTACATACAAAGCTGTGGAGTCCAGTCTACCCCATTCTGCTGGGTGGCTGTTGATTCTACAAGATTCATCTGTTTTTTGACAGCTCTTGTCTTTAATCCCATCTGTGTCTAACCACCCTCTTTACCAGAGAAGCCTGGTGGAGGAAATGATTTAGTCACTGATGACCTATAACCATATAGTATTGGTACTACTGGGTTAGATGCAGTGGTGGTATCCTACCAGTTCACACAAACTGATTCTTAAAATTATAAAATCTTAGCAAACCAGATCCTGGATTATCCAAAAATAATCTTATATGTTAATAGCCAATATATAATAGCTAAAAATAATACCATTGCTTTAAGTTCTGCAAAAGATGAAAGAGGATTTTCTGTGATGAACATAATTTATTCTGACAAAAGAAATCGTCTTGAAGTTAAAAATGTGGCAAATAGTCTAGTCAAAGATTTGATAGGTCTTCTATTAGATTTTTGGGAGTTCAGCGATTCTGTTTGAATGTGGCTAAGAAACTATAACACAGCTGATGACATTAGAGTTAAAAAGCATCAGACTTCTGAATATGATGAGAACAGAATTTCAATCTGGAAACATCTTAAATAAATGTTTTCTATTGAATTATCAAAATGGTTTAATTCTTCTTTATACTATAAAGTGATTTGTTTCCGTTCTCAGATTAAAAAGAAAAGCAGAATAGGTTCCTAAAGATTACCTGCCTTTTTAGAATCAGTTACTGGAAATTTGGGATACCATTCTTGGTTACATGGTACTAGTAGCACCTATAGAGTGACCTGGCATAAAACTATCCACCAAATTTGAGGTTTGATTTGATTTTAAAAGGTAAAAATAAAAAAAAGACCTTCCTCTCTTTCCTTACAGATTATACACTTGAAGAAAGCTGTAGAATGAATTGGATAATACATTTTTGTAACACTGATTTCTATTGTCATATCTGTGAATATTAAATGGCTGTAGCTAAAATTGTTGTTGTTGTTGTTGCCACTGGTAACCATTTTTATACACCGTCACTATATTAGATGAAATGGATTAAATCCAACAAATATTTTTATATATTTTGTTTATACATTATTTTATGGATGCACATTATTTGATTTAAATGCTCTGTTTTAATTAAACAGTATTAATTACATTTACTGGCCTGAATGTTCAAGAAATTTTGTAGAAAATATGCCTTTTACAACATCAATCAAACCTGTATCCCATAAGGAAACTGTCATATAGTCTGACGTGCTGTTAGCCATTCAGCTACAGAGAACTTTCCAGTTAGCAAAATCCAAATTACTGTATATTTTCTGTGAAATTTCTCAAGCATTCAGGCTAGTAAATGTAATTACTGATGTTTAATTAAAACAAAGTATTTACTCAAATTGTATCTATAAAAATGACATATAAACAGAAAATATATTCAAACACTGTCACTATGTAATTATGACTGTCTTCCTTGAGTTTAGTGTTAATATCTGATCATTTTTTTTTCCTTTTAGTTCTGACAAAGCCAGATTGCTACAAAAACCTGAGGAAACAACTACAGTGAAAACTAGTCAACCATCTGATAAAATCCTATCAAATGATAAGATTAAATCGGTGAATGCTTCTGACGAAGTGAAAACTGTTCAACAAAACAATGATACCCAATCTAACAATTCAACATCAAATGAGATGTAAGTTGTTGTTTCTGTAAATTTTCAAACATTTCTTCCCCAAATGACACAATGGACCCTAGTTATATATCTCTCCAATATGTAGTTTTCATTTTTTTTAATCACTTGAAATCTGGATATTTTTGTGTGACGTGTTATGAATGAAATAAATTATCAACATGTTGAAGACAATGATTGCTTTCACGGTTTTCATCACCAATTTTGAATTATTTTGAACCGTTATCCAATCCATGTCATTGCCTGAATAGGAAGACGTGGGATAAAATTGACTTCAATTAGAAATCTTGTTTTAATCTTTCATATAAAAGCATCAAATCACTCCCCTGGAAAAGTGATATGCTATTCACTTGTATACATGCTATTATATCTCATGTATTTGTTTTTTTTCTAGTCCATCTGATGTTAAGAAAGGTGTTGTTTTTAGTAATTGATTATATCTATTCACACACAAGTTATTTCTGTTCTTTCTGTAGATATTTTTATGCTCCATGTCTATTCAAAATCTAGGCATCGTGGGTATGATGATAAACTACATCTGGCAGTAAGGCCTCTGATTAGGATGTTTTGAGGATTGTTGCACCACCTCTTAATTGCTGTTGTTGCCAGGTCCAACCTGACCTGGGGTGGTAGCACTTGTTAGGGGCCCAGCTATGGGCAAATAGTTAACCCCTAAACTGGGGTCAAAACACTATGAAAGTATAAAAATAGCAGCAATAGATTTTTGGAAAAAATATTACTGGCAATACATTTGACTCTTAACAAAAACCCTCTTTGCAAAAATGTCAATGAAACCTGATCTACAAACTGATTTCTTGCAAAGAATACATACTCTATTCATACAAACCTATCCTCAAAATCATGTCAGCATTAAATAAACCATTGAGATGTTGATATGCCATAAAACAAAATAAACCAAACCAGGAAAACATTTTTTTTTTTTTTTAAATATTACCAGCAATAAAAATCTTGCTGGCCTTAAATAAGCCATTGAGGTTGATATGCTGTAAAACAAATCAAACCAAAAACACATCAATGAAAAACTCCTCTTTACAAAAATACACAGATGAAACCTGAACTGATTTCTTATAAAGAATAAATATTCTATTTATATTTATTATTCTATTCATATGAATCTATTGTAAAAATCTTGGCATTAAATAACCCCTTGAGGTTGATATGCTGTAAAACAAACCATATCAGAACCGAGGTGATCATGGTTCTCTACAACTTCCTTTAATATCTGTAATTGGAATATTAAGCATGGTATAAGGCTTAAACTTGAGAATTTGCTAAGCATGAACAGGCTCAAAGTTACCTGATGCTAATAAAAAAAAAAAAAAATACTGTGTAGAATTATATTTTCTCTTTAAAAATTGAGTCGCCAAATTGATTTTTTAGCAATCCAACACCAATCAGACGATCAAGATTTTCTGTCCAACCAAAACTTAGTGTCAAGACACCCATCAGGAAAGTAGCAATACCTTCCCAGCCAGTGAACAATGGAGAAAGCTTAATCCAAACCAAAACTGTTGAAAATATAACTGAAGATGGTGCAAAAGGTACGAACTCCAAAGAAGAAGCAGTAAACTCTGGCTCAAGTAAAAATGAAAGGTTGGTCATCAGTTTTGTTTTTTTTATATTTTTTTAAACCAGTTTGGAAATGTTAAATATCAGTGAAAAGGGATTCAGTTTTATTATTTTCATTGAAATTCCCTACAAGCTTCAAAAAATTTTTTTTTTATGCCATATATCTCTAGGTTGTAGGCAGTAATGGCTCTCCACGGCTATCTTTTCTTTATTTTTATGGCATTCCATTACTTTTGGGGGAAAACTAGAGAAGTGGCTTCCTGTTGCCTTCTTCAGTTTAAATTCAGTTTTCTTTTACTTAAACTAGCTGCCTCTTAAGGCTAGAAAGCCTGGTTTACTCTATTTAAGCCGTAGCTGGGGAGGAGAAGAAAGAGATTCCTGTCTTTTGAAAGAGTGAAGTGAACTTGACAAATTAGGTTGGAACTTGAACTGAGTTCACTAATTCCGCTTTCTTTGCCAATAACCATTATTCTACCTGTAAATCCCTTGATTCATACCTGTTATGGAGTGGTTTCACAGTGGAGGCTTGTATTTGTACTAAGTCGGTCCTAAAATAGGTTCGATGTACAAAATGTTAGGAACTTGATATAATAGGTAATGACGCAGAGAAATCTAGTTGTGGTCGCTGATACTTTAGTATCCAACTAACGGTCATCCAGCATCGACCGACTGACTGACCCACTGAGCGACTCCCTTGTTACTCTTACTATTCCTACTCTATTAACTATAGAATAGGTGTGTTCCACTATAACGTACCAATCCAAAAAGCAATCAAATTCTTACTGCTGGAAACAAAAATAGAATATGTATTAGAAAAAATAATTGCAAAATGTATATAAATTACTTTTGATCTAGGTTTTCTTGGTTAACTTTGCCTATTAAGATTTTGATGTGAATTCAAACTCTGTTTTGTCAATAGTTTTGCAAAATATTAACTAAAGTTTTTTTATTTGGTTCATTAACTTGATCTGTCAGAAAGAAAATAGAATTTTGAAGTTGATGACAGATGTTTTCTTTTATCACTATTAAATATTTCTTCAAATAATTTGTATCCTCTCTATTTTAGTGAAACTACAGTTTTGCCAAGACGCAAACGCTTTCAGATCCAACCAAAACCAAGCGTTAAAAAAACAGAACAGGCCGCTGGTTTCCCTAAGACGATTGCTGAGAATGTTTCGGCAAGCCAGTCTGAAACCACTGATGAGTCTGCATCAAAATGCATCTCTACAGAGGCTGAAAATGATAGAGAAAAAGGCGATTCTGAAAATGCTGTTACACACAAAGATGGGGATGATGCTTCCAAAGAGACATCAAAAGTGTAAGTTCTGTTATACTCAAGCTGATCATAGACAAAAGCTTTTTAATTGCCTTGTCCTGTTGGTAGCACTTAGAATACACACTGCATCTCAAAAGGTGGTCACATTGCAGGTCGGTTCTTACAGACTCTGATATGAGCTTGATCAATGTTTGCCCCTTTTGATTTAAGGGTGTTGTGTCCATAAAAAATAAATAAATAAAAATTAATTATAATGTCAAAAATAATTATAACAATTATTATTAATTCACTCATTCTAAACCAATGAGAATCAACCCCACTTTTCTCCTCTAAACACACACATGTGACATTCTCACATTCTGACAAGCAGTTCACATGGACAGGTTGTCAAAACATGCCACCGAAAATTTTGTCTCCATTTTAGGCCATAATAGTAACATTTATCTTTTAGCACTTGACAATAATTTGAGTAAGAAAACTCCAGACACTAAGATTTTCTAACTAAATTATCTGGACACTGATTACATACATTTATAAAAAAAACCAAAAAAAACCCAAAAAACGTATAAGACTGTATACACTTTACTTCTTCTTTATCTCCTTTTGTCGGATTTTGATCCATATTTGATTTACATTTTACCCCAAACTCACAATTTTACTCAATATGATTGTCTCTCATTTCCAGCACCACATAACAACCAGATGATAAATAAAACTCATTTTGTTGTTTCCATATCTTGCAGTTTCTCATTTTTACAAGTATTTTTGTGTATATAATGTTAAGGGGGTTTATAATTAATCGAGTTGTAACTCCCCTACAAGGATAAAGAGGACATTTGACATAAGTCAAGTCCATAGTAGAGTTAAATGGTAAACTCTGTTATGGACTGAACTTATGTCAAACGTCTTCTTTACCCTTGTGATTGTAATTTTTGTCCAATGATTTGTATTCAAGATTAAATAATCAAACAAGTATTGACGTAACTAGCCTAACCTGAAATTTTTAGTTTCAAAACAAAGTGAGTAATGCATTGTACTTAATCTTTGGTCTAAATAATGGATAAAAAAAAAATTGATTCTGTTTGAATTCTGTCAATATTCTTAGTTTTTGTTAAATTTACAATAACAATTTCTGCTGTTATTAATACGGACGAATCAAAAATTCCCTCTTTTATACATATTTACTTAGTTGTATTATTTACATTATTTGGACTGTTATCCTCATCTTCATTGCCATATTCACAACGTTTCAGCTGTTGTACACTCTGGCCTTTTTCAGGTTATTGGAATTTTGAACCAAACCCTTTATTTTGTCCACCGACGTAGATTGTTCTAGTTCCACATACTATGCCTCTTCCAGATGCTTCAATTATTTCCAAGTTTTTGTTTCACCATTGCTGTGGTATTGAACTCACAACTCTTTGGATCTAACCAATGTCTTTATCCACTGGGTCATGTGTGGGCCAAAACCTTGTGAATATGGCAATGAAGATGAGGATAACAGTCTGAATAATGTAAATAATACAAGTAATCATAATACCTCATCTCAGAGATATAGACAGATATTTACTTAGATGTCGTCTTTTTTTTTTTTTTTTTTTTTTTTTAAATGTGGGTGGAAGGTTGTGAAAATGTCAAGAGATTCAGAAATGAGAAAGAAGTTATGAAATTAAAAAGAAACGTTTTCTTTGGATTCAATCAACACTAATATTTTCTTATTTACAGTGAAACCTCACTTTTATCAAGACGTAGCCGTTTTCGGATCCAACCCAAGCCTCGAACCAAAACTGTTGATCAGACTTCTGCTTCTTCCTCCTCAAAGCAGGCTGCTGTTAGTCTCCCAACAATCCAGCCTGTCACTCCTAAAACTGATCTATCAGCAAGCCCAAAATATGCAGTTACATCAAAAACTGATGACAGTAAACAGAAAGATGACTCTAAAGGTGAAGATAATAAAAAAGACATTGATGCCAATTCCAGAGGAATGGATAGAAAGATGTAAGTATTATTTTCTGGCATGTAAAATTGGGTTTTGTGCTGAAGTTGAAATATCTGATCATGACATCTATCAGAAAGATGAAATTTAAATTTTTATTATTGCATTATTCCAAAATTTTAACACATCAGCAAATAGCTATTTAATGTCAACAACTGAGCAAAAATAGTTATTAATTCAAAAAATTTGTAATTAATGTATAATATTATCCATAACTACATCTACAAGAATGTCATTTTTGATTAAAAGTTTAAAAAATAACCATAAATACATAAAAAATACATATATTGTGAAAAATTCCTTTTTCCACAATATAGGTAATTGTGCTATGTTTATACAATGTTTATTACCTAAACAATAATACTGAATAAATTTTTTTAAACATTAAAGTATATTTAATCACATCTCCCTAATAAGTGTCAGGATCTGTCAATAACATTTTTCATTTTCGCAAGTTTTTGTATTTTCAAATTCTAGTCTGTTATTTCTTTTCTATCAGTCTGTAATCTTGTTCTGCTTGCTTGTATGTACAACTGTTAGTGTTTGTTTTTGTTTTTTTTTTTAAGCTATGATCAGAGTGTAGTATATGCTTGATCTATGGCCCTTCTAAGCTGGAATTAGTCATGCTTTCTATCAAAAATATCTACCTAATAATATTAAAAAGAAATTTGGAAAAGTGAAGGAAAGAATGACATGAAAAAGAGAAAAGAATTTTTGTCTTTCTCAATGACTATATCTTCTCCAATTACCTCACTGTCTTCTATAGTTTTCACACAAACTTCCCTAGTAAATTTGTACCAGTCGACCAATGTTTTAGAACTACCGAAGTTGCCTCTACACAAATTCCTGGGGTACTTTATTTACCTGGTAATAAATAAGTTTGTATATATTGTAGCTTCAAGTGTGAACCAGCAAACCAACAGTTGTACCAAACAGATTTCTTGAACCTACAAATTCTGCCACTACGCCTATAAACGAATTTGTCATACAAATTATTGGTAATTCAGTTAAAAATACCGCTTACGTATTTATCACATTTCTTCCTCATAAACCTGTCTATCAGTTATTTCTCTTGGAGCCAATTCATTCCAATCTGTTCCCACAAATTTCATAAATGTTGTCATTTTATTTGTCATTTTTGCAATTTTTTTATCAAGCATCTTAGTGTCATTGTTTAGGAAATTTAATTTAATTATTTTTATCTAGTAAGCAGGTGATACAACACTACTGCTTTTCCTTTGATTAATACCATCCCGGGTATGACTATAAACTACATCTGTGTCCTGGGTAAGACAATGAACTATGTCCCAGCAGCAAGGCCTCTGATCAGAAGGTTTTGAGGAGCGTGGAACCACCACTTAATTGCTGGTGTTCCCAGGTCCACCCTGATCTGGGGTGGTAGCACAGGTTAGGGTCCCAGCTATGGACAAATAGTTATCCACGAAACTGGGGTAAAGGCGCTATGAAAGTGTAAAGGTGGGTCTTAATTCCAGAAATACTTTGTAAAAAATTATTACCAGCAATACTTTTTTGAAAAAAAAATTATTACCAGCAATACTTTTTTGAAAAAAAAAATTATTACCAGCAATACTTTTTTGAAAAAAAAATTATTACCAGCAATACTTTTTTGAAAAAAAAAATTATTACCAGCAATACTTTTTATTAAAAAAAAAAAAAAAAATTATTACCAGCAATACTTTTTGAAAAAAAAAATATTACCAAAAAAAAATTTTTACTAGAAAAAATTAAAAATTATTACCAGCAATACTTTTTTGAAAAAAATTATTACCAACAATACTTTTTTTAGGAAAAAATATTACCAGCAATACATTTTTGAAGGAAAAAAATATTACCAGAAATAGATTTTTGACAAAACAAAATATTACCAGCAATAAAAATTGTTGGCATTAAATAACCCATTGAGGTTGATATGCCGTAAACCAAACCTTTGATTAATAATAATATTGTCTTGAGTATATAATGTAGCATTTATAACTTGTCTGTTTTTTTTTTTGTTTTTTTTGTTTTTTTGTGTGTGTGTGTGTACACAAATGGGTCATAAATCAAAGTTTCCTCTGATTGCTTCAAAGTTTTGCAAAGCAAAAGACACACTGATATGTGAAATATTTATCAAGTGTGTTTTCCTTTTTAGTTCTGCATTAACCAAGGGAAATGTTCCATGCTTACCAGCCTTTGAACCTAGAAATCTGAAAATCTTGAATTCATTTTTTTTTTAATTCATGTCATGAAACTGTATTAAGTTTAATTCAGTGACTAAATTGAAATGATCAAATTGGTCACCTTGTACAAGAGATGATGTTTTGAAGGACATATGCACAATGGAATTATCCTCCAGATTAAATATCAAACATTTTGGTTCAGTTCAATAAAACAAAAGATGATTAATCAGAAGTGTTTTAGTATAAGGTTTTATTTTCTATTGATCAATAAATTCTATTAATATTTTATTACAAATCTTTGACCCTTTGAAAGTGTTGATTCACTGAAAGCAATGTTCCAAACTAATTTTTCACTATCATCTCAGAACTGTTACAAAAAATTTAAAACCTCCCTGAAATTTTCTTTTTTTTTTTATTTATTGTTGCTAGTAGCTTAATAAAAAAATTCCATTAAAATGTTTGGAAAATGTTGTTTGATCCAATCCATTCATGTGTGTCTGCATGCTCCATTTAATTAAAAGCTCACCACTATTGATGTATGTTTTTTTTTGTTTTAGAAATCAGTTCCTTTCAGCATAAATATAATCTCTATCTATAAAAGGCAAGAGGTATGTGTGTGTAACGAATGCACGGCCGCAATTTTTGACGGATTTGCACCAAAATTTACATGCACATGCTCCAAGTTAGCGGGAAGGCCAAGACAGACTTTGCATTTCCCAACTCCCATCAATAGTGGAAATAATCAATTTTTTCATGCTTCTATGGCATTTTTCATGTAGTTTGTGGCCATTTTGTACTGGCCAGAGTGAGAGCCAATAGCTGGCTGCCACAAATAGGCAGGAAGATTCTATTGGCCAGCGTGAGAGCCAACAGCTGACTAACACGAATGTTAACTAGCATGCTAGCATGCAAAAAAGATCGATAGCTGCATTCGTCACAAGTGGGAAAAATTTAAATCTGCATGGCACTTTACTCCAATTGGCTCATTCGCTTGCTTAAACTCAACGTTGATTCTGATTCCGCAGAACTGGGTTGGGTGTGAAAAAGTATCTGTTGTTAACATTCTTTTTTTTCATTCGGTTTTTCCTGTTACGAGTCCTTTTTTAAAGCTGAACGTTTTGTGTTCATTTTATTTAGTTCTTTTTTCATAACAAATTTAATGTTTAGTATAGAGCTTAGAAAAAATTTGCAGTGTGAGATAGGCAAGAAGTAAGACATGTAGCAACATCAGCACGGCAAAGGGCACTTCTTTAAAGGCAAGGAAGGGCAAAACTATTTTAAGTCAAGTGATAGCAATTGCTGTATGAGTCGTACGATTTTTGAATCAAGCACGGGCAACGCTGGGTCATGCTGCTAGTAGAATTTAAATTTAAAAAAAAAAATTTCATATCAACTTGACATCATTCGAAAAAAACAAAGGCAAACCCTGGCCAATCATCGCTATCTAATGTCCTATCATCCCTGGGATAATGTTAATCTTGAGTCCTATATTAGTCTCTGATCTTGTTTTGCTTCCATCGTTACATTTTTAAGTTGTAACTGACCATACTGTGAAGAACTTGTAGAAAGGCTGATAACTGAAGTGTAGAAATTTGCAAATTGGAATGTGTTTTAAAGAAATTTACAAAAAACTACAAAACTGTATTTTTCACCCAGACTTTATTTTATTGTATTTTTCTCCAGTGAAACGGCAATTTTGCCAAGACGTAGTCGTTTTCAGGCCCAACCCAAACTGAGAGCCAAGACAACACTCAAGTCTTCTACCTCCTCTTCTGAACCCAGTCTGATGACTTTGGCAGCAGACCAGCCTGTTACCGGTAATGAAACTCTATCAGCAGAAATGATAGAAGTGAATGACATTAAACAAAAAAATGATTCTGAAAACAACAATGATAATCAAGATGCTGCTGTATCCAAAGAAATGGCTACAAAGATGTAAGTTTTTGTTTCTCTGACATAAACTGAATTGCCAAATTTGAATAACACTTTCCATAGATTTTTATTTTGTTTTTATACAATATACAGCCAACAAAGGTTTTCTTCTCTTGTGATATTTATTTTTTTCCTTTCTCTTTCATATTTGGGAATTATTTTTAGCTGAGACAATGGTTATTAGTTTTTCGCACTATTTAAGTTAACTGGTCCACTTGTTAAAAAGTGGGGGTAGGAATAATTTTTGTAGATTTGCATCCATTAGACATTCCTTTTATTCATTTTTTTTTTCTTTTGCAAAGTTTAATGCATGCCCCCAAAAAATTGTTTGTCAAAAGGATGTTTTTTTTTTTTTCACTTGATGGCACCATTACAGTATACTCTCTCAGCAATTTTTATTATTAAAAAATAATTTCTAGAATTTTGAAAAAACTCAAACACGTGAAACTTTTTTTCTTGCATTTTAGAAGAGGCTGGTCATAATATATCAAATCAATCTCTGATTTTTTTTTTTTTTTTTTTTTTTTTTCAAAGACTTATCTGTACTTTGTTTTTATTTACCAATGTCAAGTTTAGAACTCTGTTTGTCATTGATAACTGCATACTATTGCTTTTTGCGTATTCGTAATAGTATGCACTTATCAATGACATAGTTTGAAACTATCAGCCATACTTTCTTCTAACAAGTTGACCTGATCTAGCACCAGTGGAGGTTAATTTTGACTGAGTTTTTGTCCCATTTCTTTGGTTGGCCTTAGTGCCTTCTGCCACATAGCTCTCTGTACAGCAGGCATATGGGAATGCGATTCTGCCACATGCTGATGATGTGACAAGTCTGTTGGATTTGTGCTTTGATGAGCATTGATTCAGTTCTGGTTGTGTTTGCATAGTCCCAAATGTCAGGGTTGGTGATTTAATCCTGCAACATGATAAAGATGTAATGAAGTCTTGGTCGGGTTAAGTCCATTCATATGATCATACCAATCTGCAGGACAATCCTCATGTAGGATGCTTACATTCATCAACAATTAGAGACAACATTGCATGCATTGAGGCTTTGATTCAAGACTGTGCAAGCTTTACGATATGACTGTGGAACTTGGTCTTCCAAAGTCAGTGGCCCATGAAATTGTCTACAAGAAGTTGGAATATCAGAAGGTGTTATCTTGTTAGATCCCAAAGTAATTGGAATATTGCTGCTATATCATGGCTGGAATTGGCTAGTTAAAAACACCTGCATAGCTGGAGTTGGCCAGTCAACAGCATCTTGTGTGGCTGGAGTCAAAAGCATCTTGCCTGGCCTTGTGGGTGATGAATTATTTTCTATCCTACATTCCCTTTCTCACAGAAAACAAAAAAACTCACAGTCCTTTCAGTACTCTATTGCTATTTCCATGAAATATCTTCTGATGAATACATTCACAAGTTCCTCCAGTTCAAACGTTTACAGCTGAAACCCACTATGCCACTGTTTTTGTGGAAGAAATTCCCAAGAGGATGCTTCCCTGATCACTACTATCTTGATCTCTTCAACAGCATAATCCAATTATAATTGTGCTTGTCTCGGTCTTCATTAGTTTGATCGACTGTTATGATCTGCCAATACCTCAAATAAGGAACCCTTCTGCTTTGATCATGTGGAAAGAAGGGAAAAAGACAGTACTTGGTTTCATTGGGAAAATGAATAAAGGGAAGATATAAGTGTGGAGAGAGAGGGGGGGATCAGGTTACAAAGTGGGGAGGGAGGAGATCGGATTACAAAGTGGGGAGGGAGGGGAAGAAAATCAATATGGGCACCTTGAGATGATGTAATGGTTAGCAAGCTTGTCTCACTAAAACAGTTACAACTGAATAGTGAGTTCAATACTCACTGTGTACCCCATACTTTCAGCCTTGTTCCACATCTAAGCTATGCTTGGAAAATTACTATTCCCCAATAAGTGACAAGATTTACTATTTTTGAAAGAGTGGAATTGGTCATTTATTGTAAACATAGGTAGGGTCATTTTACACTTAAACACTGTGAAAGAAAAGTGTTTCCTTAACAATTTTATTATTCATGTGTTAAATGCCTTTTGTGAAATTTTTAAAATTCTTTTATTTTTTTCCTCAGTAAAACAACTTTGTCCAAGGACAGCCATATTAAAATACAGCCTAAGTCAAATGCTAAAACTGCAAATCAGTCTTCTGCCTCCACCCCAAAACAAACTGTTTCAAATCTCCCAGAAAGTGAAACTTCATCTGTATCAACAGAAGTCACAAGTACATTAAAACCTTATGGTGTCAAACTAAAAGACGACTCTGAGATAAAGGTTACTGACAAAGACGCTGGTGCTGCTAATGATAAAGAAACAACTGTGTAAGCTTCATTTTTCCTTTTTTTTTTTTTTTTTTTTTCAACAATTTTTGGACTTTATTTGTAAAATGTGCTTTGATAATGAACCAATGTAAAACTTTTGATTCATTGAAAATATTTTTTTTTCTTTAATTAATGAACACCAATAAATTTCACTTATTTTCTGTATGAATAAAAAGCAATACCTAGAAGGTGTAATGGATAAATTGTCATCTAAATTATGCAAAAAATGAAAATAACACAGAAATCTCATTTTAACAGACATCCTGGGTATGACAATAAACTACATCTGCATCCAGGGTAAGACAATAAACTATGTCCAACAGCAGGGCCTCTGATCAGGAGGCTTTGAGGAGCATGGAACCTCCTCTTAATTGCTGGTGTTCAAGGTCCACCCTGACCCAGAGTGGTAGCACCTGTTAGGGTCCCAGCTATGGGTAAATAGTTAACCCAGAAACTGAGGTAAAGGGCATTAAAAAAAGAAATACTTTGTAAAAAAATTATTACCAGAAATGAATTTTTTCAGGAAAGAGAAAAACTATTACCAACAATACGTTTTTGGAAAAACAATATTGCCAGCTGTACGTTTTTGGAAAAACAATATTGCCTGCTATACGTTTTTGGAAAAATAATATTACCAACTATACATTTTTGAGGAAAAAAAATATTAACAGAAATAGATTTTTGACAAAACAAAAATATTAACAGAAAAAAAAAAAGTTGTCGGCATTAAATGACCCATTGAGGTTGATCTGCCATAAACCAAACCAAACCATCATTTTAACAGATATATATTTACCAAAATTGCACAAAAATATCTTGAAATACTAAACAGTAAATTTATTCAATAAAATCACCATTGGCTTCAACCATGACCTCCAGATGACTTCAGAATCTCCTGCAACTCTTCTGGATGATCTTCTCGTTTAAGTTGGTAAATGCTGCCATAATCCTTGCCTTCAAGTTTGTCTTTGGTGTTACAAGGAGTTTTGTTGGTCTCTCACTCAACTGCACTCCATACATAATAATCAAGGGGGTTGCAGTCTGGGGAGTTAGGTGGCCAGATGTAAGGGGTGATGTGGTTGCAGAAATTGTCTGACAGCCATGACTGGGTTCTCCTGCTTGTGTGGCTTGTGTTCTGTTGCCAGACATACAGTCTTCCAGCAACCACTCTCTTGACTCAGGGCAGCACTACCTTCTCAAGGCTCTTTATTTAGGCCTCCCATCAACAAATTTGGGAGTTGTTTTCTTAACAAAACAATCAGTGAATTTTCAAAGTTGCCGTGTCTTCATAATCACCATTAGACTCATCCAACTCTTTCCAAATCCTCTGCACTCTCACCAGATTGACACTCTGAAATGTTCATATTAGAGCTACCAGCATGTACATCATGCCATTTCCAAATTTCTAGCAGAAGGAATTGCATCATTGTGCTTTTTTTTTATCACTGATGGTGGCAAACTGACCCTAATATAGTGTGTAATTGACAAAAACAAACAGCATGCATGCCTGAAATTAAAAAATATAAAATGGTGACAATTTACCTATCGCACCCTGTATGCTTCATAATGACAAATTTTATGAGAAGGTACTGAAAATTAGCATTTCAGAATACAGAATTATATCAAAATATTAATTTTTGAAATGTGAGTTGCATTGCAAACTTCTATTCTTACCACTCCTTCATACAAAAAAAAAATCACAAAACTTGCTTCTCTCAGAGAAAATTATGAGATATATAATAAAAGGAAGATATGACATTTTTTTTTCTAACCACTGTAAAATCTGGTATTATGAATATAAAAATAACAAACCAGTATTGAACATTCCTGTACTGAGAAAAAATTTAAGTTTTTAAAAAGAAGAAAAAAGGATTTTGATGTAGGTTTCTACTTCTATCCTATTAATACTCACTGTCCCCAAAAATGGGTTAAGTAATCATAAATTTAAATAGTAAATTATTCATTCTATATCTCTTTCAGAAAAGAAGCTCCTGTTCCAACTTTGTCCCGGCGCATGAGGTTCCATATTCGCCCCAAATTAGGAGCATCTCAGCCCAAAGATGAATCACCAAGTGCTCCGGTTGAAGTGAAAACAACTGATGAAACATTAAAGACTCCAAAAGAAACAACTTCAGTTGCGTAAGTTATTCAGAAATTTTCTTTGTTATATTTTTTTAAATTGTAGCATTTCACGAGGGGAATTAATAATCGGGGAATGAAACAATGTTATCTATATCCAATAAGCTTCACTCAAAGTGACGTACAAAGCTGAAGATGAGTTGGAGACGGCAATTTACAGTTAATTATAAGCAAAAGTAAAAATTTATTATTTCCTTTAATTTATATTTTGATGGTATATTTTAGATCTAACTGAGTAATTAACGTGAAGGCAGGCATTGAGCATCTATAATCTTATATATAAAGTACAATGTATGTGTGTATGTTTGAGCATATGTGTGTACAAGCAACTTCTTCACTCCTACTGGTTTGATTTCAATGATTCATCACTCATTCAAAAGCCCTAGAAAAGTTAGGTGCAGGGAACAATTTTTGTTGAGCTCAGATTCATGCCTGCCATATTATGCGAGGTTAAAAATATATATTAATATATTATTCTAGCCATTATCGTTGCTTTCATGGTTCAAGGGAAGTTACTCTTATTTTCCTTTTGTATCCCAAATTGCAGCTAGCTTAAAATTTTGTTAGCTTAAAAGCTACCCTATCGGGCAGTAATTAAGCTAGTTCCTGTGGAGGACTCTTGGTTTGGCCATCATCGCAATAGCTAGGGAGGAGTAGATGGGATAGACATCAATAAATTGATTGCTGCATTTAAGTATTGAATTAATGTTCAAGCTTATCTTTTAAAAGTTCAATGATAATTCTTCTGTTGTCACTTAATTTAAAGACGATTTGATGTATGAAGATCCTTATTTTCTGTACAGGCAATTATTTTTATTTCATGGGTGACAGAACAGGACAATTTATAAGATAAAATCAATATAGTGCAAAGATGGGAAAATAGAAATTAGAATTGAAGAGTTAGAGAAACATTATAGCTAATTAAGTAAAACCTATATTATGGAATCTATATGAATAAATGTGAAATTGGAGCTCAATTCTCCTGTGAATTCTGCGATTAACAAGCCCTGGCTCTGCATTATAGTAATTTGTATTTACTGGGATTTATTAAGCATAGCATAAATATGGCACAATGCTGAAAGTGTGGAGCACCCAGTGAGGATCAAAGTCACTACTCAGTCATAATTGATCTAGCGAGACAAGCTTGCTATTACACCATGTCAAAGTGTCCTAAAAAATGAATTTTCTGGATATTATGCATTTACTTCTCAGATTATCTTATCTCTCTTATTTTTATTTTCCAATCGGTGCAGGGTGGGAGGCATCTAGCGATTAGTGTATGTACATTGTAAAATAGGAAATTATTTTTATTTAGATTTTCTTGTTCTATAGTTCCCTTTTATAAATTTATGAATAAAAAAATTTTGTTTCATAATTATTTCTTTATAATAATAAATATCACGTTGTAGTTTCATATAAATAATATAAGAAATAATAATCTAATAAATACTCCCATAAATAATATAAGAAATAATAATCTAATAAATAATCACATAAATAATATAAGAAATAATAATCTAATAAATACTCCCATAAATAATATAAAAATAATAATCTAATAAATAATCACATAAATAATATAAGAAATAATAATCTAATAAATACTCCATAAATAATATAAGAAATAATAATCTAATAAATACTCCCATAAATAATATAAGAAATAATAATCTAATAAATAATCACATAAATAATATAAGAAATAATAATCTAATAAATAATCACATAAATAATTTAATTACGTTTTAATACTTTGGGAAAAAAGAAAATGTTTAAATCCAGTTTGGGATTTAGTAAAATTTTAAAAATAGGTTTTTAAAGTGATAAAAATTGCCAAGGAAGAGTATACAATAATAATGGTCGCAAAAGAAAAACATACATACTTTTTAACATACAGGGTGTCCATAAAATTCGTGTGCAATTTAAAAAATTTATAACTTTATTTATATTTGCAATAGAAATAATCTGTAAAAAATGTTATAAAGTTTAATGTACCTAGTTTTAAGTATAGGTAAAATAACTAATGTGATTTCAGGCATTACTGTAAATCGGTTGGCAAATGTTTTCCGTGAACTGCAAAATCGTATTACGCTTGGTATTGCTAATGATGGAGGACATGTGGAAACTTAAATAAAATTTCGATAAAATCTCAAAAGATATAGATTTACTTCTTTCTAATCCTTTTTACAAATTATTTCTATCACAAATACAAATAAAGTTAGAAATTTACTGGAAATTTTTTAAAGTGCACACGAACCTTATGGACACCCTGTATTTATTTTTGCAGGTACATTTGTTAAACTTTTCCCTTTGTTGTATATCAAAACCTATCTTCATATTTATGCTCTTTTGTGTCTTGTCACTGTAATAATGAAGGAAGAAAAATATAAGAATGAATCTCATGTTATGAAAATAAAAATGAATAGCAACATTTTTTTTTTTTTTTTTTTTTTAAAATCAAATTCCATTATTTATATTTTCTTTTCAGTGAATCTTCCATTCTGCCAAGACGTAACCGCTTTCAGATTCAACCCAAACCTAGTGTCAAGACGACCAAACAATCTTCTTCCTCTTTACCTAAGGTTACCACTGCAGAAATGTCACATAGACCTTTAATCTCTGATAATGACACAGCTGTGACATGTTCAGGAGATGTGACATTAGAAACTGGTGATAACAAACGGAAAGAGGAAAGTAAAAATGAAGTTCCTAACAAAGATACCGATGATGCAACCAAAGAATTACCTTCAGAAAGGTAAATCAGCTTTTGTTTCTCATATCAGGCAATTAACTCTTTCTTTGATGATACAAACTTTTGAGAAAGTTTTTTGGGTTTTTTTTTTGTTTTTTTACTCACTTTTATAAGTTTTAAGTTGTCGTAAATATATGGCATATTTATGACTCTGGAAAAAGACATTTGAAAAAGTATCTCTGTATATTATCAAATATTATATACAAATATTCCCCTCCACACTTTAATTTTAGTCAGTCATTTTGTACTTTATTTTCCCTCTTTGTTTTAATATATTTGCATATATTATTATGTTTATATATACCTTTTAAAATGTTGGTTTTTAGAGCATTAATAAAGTTTTGTACCCCCATAAATTCTTTATGGCATATTTGATTTTTTTTTTTTTTTTTTTTTTTTTATTATGCTTTTCCAGTGTGAAGGCAATCCTGACTCTTCACAATACCGTTTTCTTTCTTTTTTTTTTTTATCTGAATCGCCATGTATTCTTAGAAAAGAAAGTGAAGCAGTTTACTGTTGCCTTCTCTACAGTTTTGAATTATGTTATCTTTCTCCTAAACTGCTGCCAACCAGGGCTAGAGCTGAGTCTACCCTACTATTTAATCCATAGCTGGAGGGAGAAGAGGTGAATTCATGACTTTTCTAAGGGGTATTAGTACAAAAGTGAATACAACAGGCCAGAATTTGAACTCTGCTTCCCAGTTCCACATTTCTCATCAATAACCATTACACTACCCACATGTACTCTATTGATTATTATAATCATTTCCAGAAATATTCTGTGCAATCTTTTTATGAGAGAACCCTTTTCAATGGTTTTTTCACAGCTTAACTTTTGTTGCTCTCAGCAATACTTTCTCCATTATACCCCACCACACACTTCTTGTTTGTGCTACTTGTTCATTCATCCATATGCTTAAACTCATCAAGTAGGTTTATATCTATCTCTCTCTCTCTCTCTACATGCCATGTCCTTTTAGGCAGTGAGTAATGGGTCTCTCCAACTTCCTTTCTTTTGTTGCTCTCTGCAAAACTTTCACCTGTACAACTCCTCTTTGTCTTTCTGGCATTTGTTCCTCCATCCAGCTGCACAAATTTGTCAAGCAGATTACTCGTTACTTTCCTCTTGCTTCTTTTGCCTTCAATGTGTCTTGTGAGTGTTAAATTCTCCTAGTCTTCTTTCCATCCTGGGTATGATGATAAACTACATCCGCATCCAGGGTAAGACGATAAACTACGTCCAACAGCAAGGCCTCTGATAAGGAGGTTTTGAGGAGTGTGTAATCACCTCTTAATTGCTGGTGTTCCCAGGTCCACTCTGACCTGAGGTGGTAGCACCTGTTAAGGTCCCAGCTATGGGCAAATAGTTAACCCTGAAACTGAGGTAAAAAGCATTATGTAAGTGTAAAAATAGGTTTTAATACCAGAAATACTTTGTAAAAAAAATTATTACCAAGAATACATTTTTGAAGAAAAAAAACTATTACCAGAAATAAATTTTTTAAAATAATATTACCAGCTATACAATACATTTTTGAGGAAAAAAAATACTACCAGAAATAGATTTTTGACAAAACAAAATATTACCAAGAAAAAAAAAGTTGTTGGCATTAAATAACCTATTGAGGTTGTTATGCCGTAAAACAAAACAAATCAGACCTAGTCTTTTCTATTTGTGCATCTTAAAAATCTTTTGATTATAAGCAAGTTTCTTTTATAATTCCTCTTCTCATTAGAACTTTCCTATTCATTATACTGGTTTCTATACGATCACTGAAGTTCAGCAACGTCAATCCTGGTCAGTACCTAGATGGGTGACCGTTTGGGAATACCAAGTGCTGTAAGCTCAAATGTGTGGGTGGTGTAATGGATAATGGCTTGGAATTGTTAATCAGAGTGCCAAGTTCCAATTTCATTTGGGTTTGTTATATTCACTTAACATGCAAATACCCTGGATCTAACTAATGCCTTTATCCACAGTGGATAAAGGTGTTAGTTATATCCAGTGACAGGACCCAAAGAGTGTGAGTTCAATACCCAGTTAAGGCAGTGGAGAACTTTCAGAGGGAAATTAACAGGAGATAACTGATAACTGAAATCCATTAAACATGGCACGTGGAACTAGAACAGTCTATCCCAGTTAGCAAAATAAAGGGTTCAGTTTGACATTCCAACCACCTGAAGAAGGCTGGAGCGTACAACGGCCGAAACGTTGTAATAAATATGGTGACAAAGATGAGGACAATAGTCCGAATAATGTAAATAATGTACTGTATGTGTATTTATCAATTCTATTGAGTCAATTGTTTTATTCAAGCCCTTGTCTCCATCCAGTTCTATGGGTCAAGTAAACAGTGGTCAAGCTGATATTGATCTTATTGATGTGCCAAGGTGATGATGATATTTATTTTTTCTTTCGTTTCACTGCAGTAATCATTCTTAGAGAGAGAGATCCTGGTTGTGTATCTTTACGGGTTCAGAAAATTATACAATGTATTATAAAGTACTCAATAAGAATACTTAGTCCTCATCATTTTACTTTTGACAAAGTGACTGCCTCCAACTCTGAAACATTGTATTAAGTGGTGCCATTTTATTTTTTTAGAGAGCAAACTCCACTTCCAACCTTATCACGGCGTTCACGGTTTCAAATTCAGCCCAAGATAGGAGTATCCCAATCCAAAGATAACCAGCCGAGTGCTTCAGGTAATGAGGAAAATGCAAAAACGCCATCAACTGAAAATGCCGGCAAAAGGTAATTCTCTTTGAACTTAGATTTCTTCTGTAAAAACTGTTTAAATTTTTATATGAAATTTGACTTATTGAATTTCATGTGCATTTTGGTAGCAGCTACCATTAGTCCATGCTTTAAATATTGCTTCAACATATGGTTTGGTGCTCTTGCTATATATTTAGAGATTCTTGATAACTTTGCTTCATTCCCTTTCCCACTGCTATAATGTATCTTCCCTGGGCCTTTCTATAAATATTTTCATGGTAATTGTACTGATGAACTTTCCTATATGGTATGTTGACCTTATAAATTTAAGCGCAGTACTGGATTGGTGGCAAGGTCTCATCATTTTATAAGTTGAAATGGCTAGATGTAACTGTAAATTCTATGCTAACAGTTTCGTCACTCACACTTCTTGCTTGTAGAACTCTGTTCTGGCTTCTTGCTTCAGTCAAATTTGATCTTCAAAAATTTAAATGCAATGTCCATCATTATCTTCTGTCTTAATTCCTCTCCTTTTATTGTTCTCACTTTTTAATGTTTTTCTTTTTCTTATATTCTTTCACAGTGAGGAATTAGTGTTTAGTTTCTTTCTTTGGATATGGTCACTCAGTAGTAATAGCACTTAAAAAGGCTGAACGATTTCGGTTTCGTAAAGATTTTCAATGCAGTTTCACAGTGTGAAGATGAAACTGAAAAAGTCGGTTTTTTCAGTTAAACCGCCCATCTCTAATTGTAATTGTTTTCTTTTACAAGACGGAACCGTTTTCAGATCCAGCCCAGGCCAAACGCTAAGACTGCAGAACAATCTTCTGCAATGGCAGCATCCAAGAAAACCGAGTCAAACCAGTCTGAGACTAATGACATTCCATCAACATCTGTTGAAGCAATAACATCTGAAGCTGACAGCAAAACAACAAATGATCCAGAGAACAAAGATGGAAACATTTCTTCCAAAGATGCAACTTCAAAGATGTAAGTTTTTTGGGGTTTTTTTTTTTGTATTTATAAAATGTAATATCAAGAAGACTTTTCTTTTATTCCAGGAATTGAAAGGAATTACATTTTCTCTTTATGCGTTTGAATACCACATAATTTGTAATAGAATGTATCTGTGATCATTGTAGCCTTTTTAATGTTTTTTTTTGTTACTTGTAATACTGTTATGATAAAATATCAAAATAATAGGAAAGACAAGAATAAGGAGCAGATTTATCAAAAACCTCAACACAACATCAAATAGAACATGGTACATCCTCAAAAACATCCTAGAAAAATACTGATTGATGACACAACTATCCTACACCAAGAAAATAACAAATTAAAACTAGAGATCCTCGAAGCAATCTACATTTAAAATTGATGCCAACACTAAATAGAATTAGCTACGAATAATGTTCTAAAATGACTATAAAAAAACAGTTTTTCACATTTTAATGCATGCTTGACCATGGCATTCCAACATAAAAGAAAAAATTTCATGGTGGATAATTTTTTCATGTTCTAATGAACACTAAAGCATAACTGTCAGCTGTTGCATTTAAATGCAAAAAGAAAAAAAAATTCAGTAATGGATAGCTACACATAATTTTTGCCTTACAAGTTGCACCCCTGATGATGATCTCAGAAAGAGATGGAAAGTACTTGGGGAAATAAAAGTGATTTTCATTCTTACAGTACATTTCTTATATCATTTGATTGTAATATACAGAAAAATATTTGTGAATATGAAAGGATTATGCTAAAAATAAGCAGACATAACGTTTGTAATTTATTTAATCAGACATAATAAATAAATATATATGATAGAGTATAACTGTAAAAGAACAATATGAATAAAGACAAAAGGGTAACTTAGCCAATGTGTTTCATCCTTTGAGGGACTTTATCAAAGGAAATATAATTTGACAAGTATTTATATACAAAAGGAAAAATGTTATTAGTTTTTTAAAATTTTGAGCACCCTATACCAAAAATTTAACAATTTTGCTCTTGCCTTTATTTATTTATTTATTTATTTATTTATTTATTTATATATATATATAATTAGTCATCCACAGACTGTTTCACTTTATCACAGCTCTTCAGTGTGGATAGACACACAATTGCTTCAAGCTGGGATCAAAACTCTACCAATTTGACATCAGTTACAGACAGCCTATCCGTGCACGCTATGGAGAAAGGGAATTTTTAACATATTCATCGTGAAGAGCATAGCATTATAGAAGCAGCAGCCATTAAATACCATTTCTTCCAAAGTGCTCAGCCAATGAATGTTAATGTATATAGTTATCCACAGACAGACAGTTTCACTGTAACATGGCTCTTCAGTGTAGCTAGACACACAATTGCTTCAAGCTGGGATCAAAAAAACATATATATGCATGGTACTTAGTGGAAAGTGCTCAATATCCATGATAGCCCTAACATACTAAGTTGTATGGATATGAGTTCACAAGTGTCACAAACAACATATACATATCTCCTTTGGTGTAAATAAAATGGTGCTCAATGCAAAATAACAGAGCTATTAATTATATATATATATAATACTCGACATCAACAATGCAAAAGGTATTGCAAACCATTCCTTTGTCTCTGATGATTGCATAGTGCATGAAACATTGAGCCATACTTTCAGCATAGGGTATTTTATATATATATATATATATATATATATATATATATATATATAATCAAACAACTAGATGTAAGAAAGGGTATACATGCATGCTGGTCTTCATACATGGACAAGCAAATAAATAACTGTCAAATTTATGCATAAGGTGTAAATATAATAGTGTTCGATATGGTTATACAGGGCAAAGATATATATTAGTTAGTACTTATACATGTACCTACATTTTGGTGTGCAACTAAAGTTTTACTGGATTACCAGCTCTTCGGGCACAAGGTCAGTGTTGTTAAAAGTAAACAAATGGCTTATGGGAGTATCACTGCTACATAGCACACAAATAAGATTGCACAGAAGTGTGTTAAATGTGATGCTGGTGAGTTAAAAAAAGTATAAGAAAAAACAATGATTACAAATTTAAAATTAAAGATGCTGCTTTTGCGTAGTCAATATAACTAAGGGCTAAAGGGAGGTAAAAAAATGAAAATAAAAAATGATGATAAATGAAATAGAAAAAACATGTGGAAGTGAAGATGGACATAAGTAAAGTAATTATAAATATGGGAATATATAATATCATAATGTAAACAAGTTAGTGGGGTATGGCACCTATATCCTAATAAAAGAAGAGCGTAGAGAAGAGGGATTAGAATCAATCAGGCTTCCAATATTTTAGGATATACAGTCTTTTATGCCTACAAGCGATCATTAATTTGCTCCATTTATTAAGTAGGCCTAAGTTGTTAATATTTTTTGAGGATAACTCTTTTCTCTAATAGGCATAAATTGCATCATCCCCTCCCTTACCAGCAAAAGATTTGGTTTGTGCTATGAATTCCCATTTTACATGAGGTGTGTAGTCATTTGTTTTAATACTCCAATAGAATTTAGAGAGTGCTGTGGCGTTTGCATATTTTTTGTTGTTGAGTGTCATTTTGTGATATTAAAATATTTGGAAGCCTGACTGATTCTAATTCCTCTTCCCTACACTCTTCTTTTATTAGGATATAAGTGCCATAACCCACTTTAACCTGTTTATATTATTATACAAATCTATATTCCCATATTTATAATTATATTACTTATGCCCATCCTCACTTCCATGTGATATACTGATTTTTTATTTCATTTTTTCTTTATCATTATTTCCATTCATTTTTTACCTCCCTTTAATCCTTAACATTATATTGCCTATGCAAAAGCAGCATCTTTAATTTTAAATTTTAAATTTATAATCATTGTTTTTTTTCTCATACTTTTTTTATTCTTACATTTTCCTAATTTTTTTAAAATGTAGCTCCCCAGCATCACATTTAACACACTTCTGTGCATTTTTATTTTTGCGCTATGTAGCAGTGATACTCCCATAAGCCATTTGTTTACTTTTAACAACATAGATCTTGTGCCTGATGAGCTGGTAATCCAGCAAAACTTTAGTCGCACACCAGAACGTAAGTACACACACATATATATATATATATATATATATATATATATATATATATATATATAATACAGATGTAAAATTTGTGACCTAACTGATTAATGTTACTTTCAACATCCTTTTAGAGTTTTGTAGATGGACTCTACAGCAATTACTCTATCCACTCGTCAGAGGATATCAGCTATTGACTGTTTTTGTTTTTCTTTTATATTGAGTTGAAAAATAATTTGTGTGCTTTTCAAGTTTTTTTTTGTGTGTGTGTGTGTGCATACAGAAAAAGAATAAAATGAATTGCCCCTTTAATGAAAACTGTTTGAATGATAATGATGAAATAGCCATTTTCATACAGGAAACATTCACTATTCATTATCTGGGCATTTTCATTAATGTCAGTTGAAAATTATTACATCTATTTCTTACAGTATTTACATTAGTCGGACTATTGTCCTCATCTTTGTCGCCATATTTGTCGCAACGTTTCTGCCGTTGTACGCTCCGGCCTTATTCAGGTGGTTGGAATTCTAATTCCACGTGCCATGTTCGATTGATGTCAGTTATCAGTTATCTGCTAATTTTCCCTCTGAAAGTTCTCCACTGCCTTATTTGGGTCTGTCACTGGATCTAACCAACGCCTTTATCCACTGTGCCATGTGTCCTTGAGGACATCTGGCTATGAACTTCTGAGTATTATAAACCTAATGTTTTCAGCATCATTTTTACCAGTGCTCATATTGCAATTTTTTTGCTGTTATCATTGCATGTCTTTACCAGAGTTCATATTGCAACTTTGTTATCATTGCTTTTCTCTGGCACTCCTTATTACTGGTTCCCATATTGTATTTATTTCTATGCTTGGTCGGCTCAGGAGATTTTTGTGGCCTAGCATTTCTTAAAACAGTTTTTTACATAATTCGACTTCTCAAGTTCACTGTTATCGCTCTTTCTAGCATTGATGGAAGTTTCCTTTCATACCTTTTGTTTAACATAGTGAGGAAAGTTAACAATTTGATTATATTATTATTTTCTCTTTTAGTTATATGTACTACACATTTTTGGTTATTGCTGATGTTAGAAGTATTTAAGTAATGTGGTTTTTGTTGTTTGGTAAAATTCTTTGTTTTTTTTTTTGTTTTTTTTTTTTTGTTTTTTTTTTAAACAGCAGTTTATTGGATTTGATATTCTTTAAGATCTAATGGATTCATTCACTTGAAGCCATTTTTAATCGTCGATTTTAATCATTTTAAGCTATAAAAAGAATACATGTATACTTTTGTATGTGGTAATAATGAAATCTATTTTTCTTTTTTTTTTTGTTTCCAAATATTTAAATTAAAATCCCTAATTATTTGATTAACATGAGACTGTCAGTACAATAGCACACTATTAATATAGTATATGTGTTACTTATCCTACCACTGGTACTACTAGTAGGTGTGGTATTGGTATTTATATCTTTGTTATTTTTAACTGATAATAGGCATTACAGAGTTAGGGACTGAAAATACATTTTTATTAAGAAAAGTTTAATATTCTTTAAATAAAACATCTATTAGTGAAATGAGAATGCACTTTGTGATATCGTCTTTCAGAGAGAAAACTGCTGTTCCAACTTTGTCCCGACGCTCAAGGTTCCAGGTTCGTCCCAAACTTGGGATATCTAAAGAAGTGCTCAAGGGTCCTGGCAAACCAACTGAAGCAAAAGAAAAACGAGCTGAGAAAAAGTCCCCACCAAAATCTACCACTCCTCCTGTTGCTGTTCTGAGCACATCCAAGGATGCTAAACGAAACAAAGAAGGCAGACAGTCTGTGTCACCTCAGGCAACCACCGAAGATGATTTGCTAAATTCTGAAAGGTAAGTTTTTATTCTTTTAATGCTGCTATACATGACTGTGATTCCTCTTATGAAATGGTAAGGCAATTGTTGAATTTTTAGAATAAATGTTTACCCACTCCTTTCTTGAAAACAACAGGACTAAAAATTAAAGAACAATTCTTTGAATTTACTTCAGAAAAGGTGTGATACTATGGACATCCATGTAGAAAAGGAAGGTGTGGTTTTATCTTGATCTCAAGTGTTTCTGTTTAATAGCTAGCAGGTGATCCTTTTTAAATTCTAGTCTTTTAAGTGATGTTCACTTTGACCGAAGGGGAACAGGAAGTAAAGGAGTGGATGAAGTATCTTTGGAGATCATGTGACAACAAAAACGGAAATAGGGTATATCCGAGTGCTGTTCTATATTGACAGTCATGTTTGGGATCAGGAGATTTCTGGTGGAAGATGGGCTTGTCCATTACATGGTTCCTGTACCCTGCTTTTGTATTGTATGCCACCACTTCAGGATGAGTAAATAGGCGAGGAGTTGGTAGGGGCTCTTCTTCGACATGGTGTTTGTCTTTCATCTTGTTACATTGTGAGCAGCCACTGTCTCTTTCCCAGCTTTGAGTGCACACTGACCAAATCAAGAATTAAAATGCAGTGTGGGGGTAATCATTTGCCAGACAGAGGAAAGCTTGGGTGTGTGTTACGTATGTTTACAAAGGAAACTTGGCAGATAGAAAAAAAATAAATGTTGAAAGAAAATGGTATGCAGATACATGTTTATTTCCATTATTCAATTTTTTTTTTTTTTTTTTTTTTTTTTATCATTTCACTCCCGTCCTGGGTATGACAATAAACTACACCTGCATCCAGGGTAAGACGATAAACTACATCCAACAGCAAGGGCTCTGATCAGGAGGCTTTGAGGAGCATGGAACCTCCTCTTAATTGCTGGTGTTCCCAGGTCCACCCTGAACCGGGGTGATAGCATCTGTTAGGGTCCCAGCTATGGGCAAATAGTGTAAAAAAAATATGTTTTAATATCAGAAATACTTTGTAAAAATTATTAACAGAAACAAGTTTTTGAAGAAAAAAAAACAAAACTATTACCAGCAATACGTTTTTGAAAAAAATATTGCCAGCTATGTTTTTGAAAAAAATGATATTACCAGCAATATGTTTTTGGAAAAATAATATTGCCAGCTATACATTTTTGAGGAAAAAAATATTAACAGAAATAGATTTTTGACAAAACTAAAATATTACCAGAAAAAAAAAAAAAAAGTTGTCAGTATTAAATGACCCATTGAGGTTGATGTGCTGTAAAACAAACCAAATCATTTCACCCCAAGCATAATAAAGCCACTAAGATGCAAGGGGTTACTGAGAATTAAAGAATTTGAAGAAAAAAAAATCATTATTAAGGGGAGTGGACAATAAGATTCAAGGAAACAAAATATGACAATTGCATTTAACTTTTGAAGATTAAAGTTCATTTGAAAAGCAAGAAGTGAGAAGTGCAAGAGAAGAAACTGTTAGCATAAAACTTACAATTACAACTTACCATTTCAATTGTAAAATGATGAGACCTTGCTGTCAATCTAGTATGATGCTTAAATTTATAAAGTCTAGGCTCCCCAGGGGAAAGTTCATCCAAACAATTAACATGAAAGTATTAATAGAAAAGGCAGAGGGAGGCTATGCTATAGCGATGGAAAATGGGACTGCAACTGAAATACCAGGTGAGGACCAATAACATTGCAGATTCTTCTTTGGATTTTATCAAGAATCTCTAAATATATAGCAGGAATACCAAACCAGATGTGGCAGTGATATTCAAACAAGAATGAATGGTAGACTTATAAATATGTAAGATAGATTCTGACAAAAAAAAAATTGTCTTTCATGATATATTGAACCAAGCAACATCAAGTAGGTTATTCACTGCTTCACCCTGCTTCTCTTGCCTTCAATATATGCCATGGGTATAAAATTATTCAAGCTGTCTTTTTTCTTTCTTTCTTTTTCTTTTTTTTTTTTTGTTTTTTTTTTTTCTCATTTCAACCTCAAACAAAGCAATAAAACCACTAAGACACTGAGTGTTAGAGAATATGAGAAAACCTACTATTAAGAAGAGAGGACAATAAAAGAACAAGAATTAAGAAGATGAAAGATAACAATTTACATTGCATTTAAATTTTTGAAGATCAATGTTGATTTTGAAAGCAAGAAGCCAAAAGAGTTCCACAAGTGAGAATGCGAGAGAAGAAACTGTTAGCATAGAACTTTGTTACATTTAGCAGTTTCAGCTTTAAAATAATGGAACCTAAGTACACCCTTGTGCAAATTAATTGAAACAACCACTTTAGTTTACTTTCTTTCACCATACGGTTAGTTTTAGACCCACTGAAGTGACAGGGTGTAATTGATTTCTATTTTTTCCTCGGATTAAGTCATTTACAGTGTGCAGTAATATGAATTTATTTTTGGGGTGTACGATGAAATTTGTTTTGCCTTGAAAAATATTGTGTTACCTGTGATTGCATCAGATTTACAACACGCCTGGACACTATTGTCTTGACTGTCGATTAGTTGTCCTACGGCCATTGTCTGCGATGGACATTACTCCAAGGAAGCATACAAAAATTTTAACGCTGCATGAACACACACACTGCCAAGCCTTACCAGTGAGCAAATCAAAGTATATAGACTGTCCCGGAAACTCTCCTGATTTAAATCCAATCAAGAATGTGTGGTCAATTTGCAAGGAACGACCGTGGAATGGACATACGAAGTACTAACATGTGCACTGGGTCATGTTTCATTGGTAAAATATGAAAAAAAAGTAAATAACGGAATTATTCATTTTGTTTCAATTAATTTGCACAAGGGTGTAGGTGATCATGGCCCTCCCCATCTTCCTGTATAATTAATTTGCACAGTTAAAACACCAATCCTACCTGTAGCCTGACCACTCAGAGATGTATTGGCCAAAAATACTTGAAGAGGATATCAACCAGGTAGGACAACTTATTGACCACTAGCAGTAGAGCCCGGCGTTGCCCAGGGATGTAACAGTAAGAGATAGATCAAGTATCGACCATCATAAAGACTGAAAAATAAAATTGACAAAGATTATTGTTTAAGGTTGACGGACACGCATGTCTTAATTAGTTTTTTTGTTTGGTTTTGTTTTGTTTTTTTTTTACGAATTGGTCAAACCCAAACTCAAACAAAAACATTGTTTTCAATCATTATGAGTCTACCGATTGAATAGAATTTTATTATAAACAATTGTCTTGTAAATGGAATTCTTAAAGCATTCTGAATGTAAAAATAAAGAAAAAAGTGTGCTAGACAATAAGAAACACTACCTGCCAAAAAAAAAGTGAAGTTTTGTTGAAATCAGTTGAAAAATGTAGGAAATCCGATCCTATATATAAACAAACACACACAAACAACCTGGGTATAACTCGATATGAGTTGTCCCCCTTTCATTCTCACAGCGATGCCTCTTAATCGTGTTTTCAAATTGATTTTGTGCAAAAACAATTGTGTTTTTCCAAGTTTTGGTGCTGTCAGAACCACCGCAAGGTAATTTTACGTAGTCCTGTGAAGTTTTGTTGAAATTGGTTGAAAAATGTAGGAAATCCGATCCAATATATAAAAGTAGAGACACACACACACAACCTGGGTTTTATAATAAGTATGATTATCAGGTGACAAAGAAAGCAGATTGTCAGCCCCATGGCAATGTGATAACAATGAACAGTGATTACTATTGTAGATGCAGACAAGGGTTAGTAATGCAAAACTGAAGAAAATAATTAACACTACAAAATGGCGGATGGGGGATATATTCCTGGCTAAAGAAACGGAGTTTGATCAAAATTCAGATAGAGAGACAACATACTCAAATGTTCAAAGTCCATTAACTGTTCCCATAGAAATAAAGTCACTCTGAATTGAAAAATTTGGTAAGAACTGTAATGCAAATTCACGATCTGCCACAGCATAAAATGATTTCTTTTTATCTTAATTAACAATTTCATTATCAACTACATAGGCTATAATTCTAATGCCATTAGTAAGTTTCTGCAAGGGTCGAGCAATTGTTAAACAAAATCTTTCTTACTAGTAAATAGGTGATTGTAAATAAAGAATAAGCCCTTTCTTTGGGAAGCCTGTCTTAACCATGACAGCTGCTTTACTGTTTTAGCTACCAGAACCAATACTTTCTGATCCATGCTGTTTACTAATAACTGTAGAATGATGGTCTAACCCAGTGTTTCCCAACCTTTTTAAGCAATGACACGCTTAAAAGCAAATAAAAATATCATGGCACACTTAAATGGTATACATTTAAATGTTATGAAATAAGACTATACACTAAAAAAAAAATACAAACACAATATGAACTTTATTTCAAATATTTCTGCTGCTTATTCAGTGTAAAAGCTGTACGTGTTGTTTTTTCACAATTTCCTCAATGTTTGGTCAAATGTGTGATAAGCAAACTTTTATTTCTTCTTCAGTTGAGCAGTGTTTCTCACTTATTTTTTGTTATTTAAGGTTGAGAAGCTTAATTCACATAAATAAGTAGAAATGTGCAATAAAACTGATAAAACCTTTTTAGCTAATGTGGGATAAGTTTTAATACTTATTCCTTTATTCAAATACTAATGTACCGTTACTAATTCCACAAACATACAAGCATATATGTATGCCGTGACAATATCTTGTGGAACACTTAAGAGGATTGCACAGTACACTAGTATACCACAGCAGAGTAGTTCATAATCACTGATCTAATTAGTTGTAATGAAAATCAGTTGGAATTAATTTGGAAAATATATCTAAAAAAAATAAAAATTGTCCATTTTTTTTTTTTTTTTTTTTGTAATGTTTATATTTTTTTTTATATTGTGTAGTTATCTCCCTTGTACTGATGAGGCCCGGTTGCAGGGTCTTTGACAATATTACAAAGATGGAAGGCAAAAATATGAAGAAAAAAAAACGGCACTTGATAAAATTGAAACATAAATTGGTCACTTTTTGTCCTGTGATGTTTTAAAAAAATGCCATGTCAATAGGTAGAATTTTTTGGCTTTGGAGAATTATTTTATCTCCCCAAATTTGGGAGATCCCTTTTTTTATGGGCAACGGTCATAGGTTCTGACCTGCCCCAATAACTCCTCCTTTCTTTTATTTGTGTTTTGTACCATTACTTCCTAATGGGCGTAGGCAATTCCTCTATCCTTCTTGCTACATTACCTATGCTTGTCACCTCAGTTGTCATTTTGACAAATCTAGTTTTTAAACCACTTGGCATGTCTTAACTTCTGGTCATTAATTAGAATTATCATTTTAATTTCTTGTCAGCAAATTTTTCCCAACCTGGTCTTGTTCATACAATTTGAAATTTACTGCTCTTTCCTCCAGTCAGCTATCTCCATATTTTTTTTAGGGTTATCACACTTTAAGAAGCCTAGACTGGGTCTTTAGATGAAGAAATTCTATTTCTCAACTTGTTTACAATTTCCACTTTTTAATAGGTGGAATAAATCAGTTGTTTCCAATTTTGCCTTGTCTTTAAAAATTACCAACATTATCTTTTCAATCGAGTTTTCTTTTCTGGCTGGTCCCTAGGAGATGTTTTCGTAACTTCCACTTGCAGCTCCATCAATTGTCAGTCCAGCTTTTTCCAGATGGTCTCTGTGGTAATATCTTTTCCCAAAACAAAACAACAAAGTCAGTTTCTTCAAGTTGTTTCTGCTTAAAAAATAGACTTTTAAAATTAGAAACAATATCGCTTATTTATCTCAGTTTGTCTATCATTCCATTCTTTAACCCTTTTTGTCTTGTTCCAAGTTGTATTTTAATTTTGACCCCTTTCTTTCTGTTTGCTAGTGTCACACATTTAAACTTTGTTCTTATTAATATTTTAAGCGAACAATTTTATACTCTGGAATTAGATTATTATTATTATTTAAAAAAAATGTAAAGTGTGTACTGTTTATTCTTTTCTTTTTCTTTAGTCGAAAACTATCAGAGAAATCATTTAGTGATTCTAGGGTTCCAACAACACCTGTGAAATTGACTGGCAAAAACAGTGTCTCTTCTCCATTAAAGGACAACGTTCAAATTGAAAATATCAAGCAAAGAGAATATCCGGTTAATGTGCACAAATCTGGCAAAAGTGGGAAAAGTCTTCCATTGAGAGAGGTAAGAATATTTATGTATTTTCGGTTTTTTTTCTAATTCTGTTCATTTTCTCTTATGCTTCACACAAACATTCACATATTCCAAAGATTTTGTCTATCAAACAGTAATTTTTCAATACTGACAATTGATACACATTTAAAAAAAATAAAATAAAATTCCAGCATTCCCTCTCCTTGATGCACATGTATAATCATATCAATGTAAGCATCACTTTAATCTGAAGTTCAAAAGGACAAAATGCACCACACAAAATCTTTTTCCACTTTGTCATAGATTTTCCTCAAATACTGAAAACGAAAATAACTCCCAAAAGCATGTTTCTATAGAATCAGTATGTTGATTAATAAATAAGATTTGGAGTTAGGTTTAATATTTTGATATTTCTTCACATTATTCTCAGAATATGTTTATCAAATATTGATTACCTACAAGTGAATATATATATATATATATATATATATATATATATATATATATATATATATATATATATATATTATAAGAATTAATGGATGTATTTAGAATCTGACATTTTTAGTACTTTAAACAATATAGTGGGCACTTGTATTAAAAATAAATGCACCATTTTTATTTTAAACTCTGTGTATGGCATTTCTCAGTCTGCACATTCGAAGAATTTTAATAAATGTTTTCTCCAACAGGGTTTGAACCTGTTTCTCTCTTTGTAGGAGGAAACAAATATTTGATCTGGCATGCTTTATTGCTAAGCCATGAAGAATGTAACAGTTAAACAAAGCTCTATTATTCCTTTGGAAGAAAAGCACATCCTCTTCATGCAGATTATTTTTCTCAATGAAAATGCAGTATTTATTTCAAATATGAGTGTCTGCTATAATAATTTTTGAAGTAATAAAAATGTCAGTTTAAAAATAAACCAATCAATTCTTCAGAAACTTTGTTTACATTTCTGATACAAAACTGAGCCGATTTATTTACATTTATATATTAAATTACTTCTTTTAATTATTTATTTAATGTAACTATTATACATTATTTTAATTGGATGAATTATTTATGTATTTATTTATTTTAAATAATAGTTTTTGATTTAATTGTTTTCTTTTAATTTTTAAAAAATTTTAATGTATGTTGGCTTGGGAAAGGAGTATATCTTAAGAAAAGAGATATTTGAAAAAATCCAGGGCACAGGTTAACATTTTGGCACAATATGATAGCAGCACTCTCAAGAACTTTCCATCTAAGTAAGTTACTTTCTCTTTTAATAGAACAAAGTTGTGGTTGAACTTATTTCTATCTATGATTAATGCATTTGATAAATTGTTATGTATAAGACCCTTATCTCTATGAACACAAAAAGGATCTTATTCATAACAATTTATCAATATGAGTATTTTTTTCCCTTTTGCGATTTTTAGTTGGTGTGTACATTGTGTACACTGGCAACACTTAATAGAACCTCTTGGGTTAACTGTGTGTGTGTGTGTGTGTATATATATATATATATATATATATATATATATATATATATATATATATATATATATATGCATCCATATCACCAGAGACTGCTGCAACTTGCCTGATGAGTGTGCATGGCATACAAAAACCTTGAGTCGTGGCTGGTCGCATGAAAATATATATTTTTAGAATTCTCTTTATCCTTTATGTATTCCATGATGTTATTGGGCTTATGGCCATGTCACATTCAAAGCTTAGTTCTCATTCGATCACCAGAGTTAAGCAATATTGAGCCTGGTCAGTATTTATATGGGTGACCTCTTGGGAATACTCCTTACTGTAAGTTTGGATGTGCAGGTGGTGTGATGGGTAATGGCTCAAAATTTAAAAAAAAAAAAAAAGTCAAGTTCAAATTCCAGTAGAGTTTGTCGTATTCACTTAAACACAAATACCCTTGGGAAAGATACGAATCCATTTCTTCTCCCCCAGCTGTGGGTTAAATAGGAGGGCTTGTATCAGCCAATCATTATCTCCAAAAATATGTTACAGCTTTAAATAACTTGCAAAAGATTGATAAGTCATAAAAAAAACAAATCAAACAATCCAGGAAATTATCAATATTTACTAAGAATATCACAAGGCTACAAATGTGAGGTAGCAAGTGAGGTTCAAATTAAATACCAATGGTCTATCAGGGTAGCTGGCTAACAGTTGCTCTCACAGGGAACTCATAGAAATCTTGTAAAAATAAAATATATACTTGAAAGTAAAAATAAAATCTAAAGTGAATTATTTTAATATTTTAAAAGTATTATTTTCTTTGGACACTTCTGAAACATTATTAAATAATTGTTTTAATTTTTAAATATAGAGTTCAACAAAATTCAATTAACCAGAAATTTTTAATAGAAAATTGTAAAACTGACAGGTCATACATTCCAGACAAGTAAATGGTGTATCTGTCTATATTTCTGAGATGAGGTATTATATATTATGAGGTATTATTATTAGGTATTATTTACATTATTCAGACTATTGTCCTCATCTTTGTCACCATATTTATTACAACTTTTCAGCCGTTGTATGCTCTGGCATTCTTCAGGTGGTTGGAATGTTGAACTGAACCCTTTATTTCACTCACTGAGGTAGACTGTTCTAGTTCCACGTGCCATGTTTAATGGATGTCAGTTATCTCCTGTTAATTTCCCTCTGAAAGGACTCATGGCACAGTGGATAAAGGCGTTGGTTAGATCTAGTGACAGGACCCAAAGAGTGTGAGTTCAATACCCGGTTAAGGCAGTGGAGAACATTCGATTTAGATTTTCCTCAAATACTGAAAACGAAAATAACTCCCAAAAGCATGTTTCTATAGAATCAGTATGTTGATTAATAAATAAGATTTGGAGTTAGGTTTAATATTTTGATATTTCTTCACATTATTCTCAGAATATGTTTATCAAATATTGATTACCTACAAGTGAAATATATATATATATATATATATATATATATATATATATAAGAATTAATGGATGTATTTAGAATCTGACATTTTTAGTACTTTAAACAATATAGTGGGCACTTGTATTAAAAATAAATGCACCATTTTTATTTTAAACTCTGTGTATGGCATTTCTCAGTCTGCACATTATACCCATAAAAAACGATGTGTCAAAAGGACAGTTTTTTCCCTTGACACCACTATTATTTTAACTACCTTCACCCCTCAGTGATGTTTGTTTTAAAAGCAATGATTAGAATTGTAATAAAACTTAAACCTATGATGAAAGTGAATTTATACATTTTCTTTTTGTTCTTCATAATTTACAACAAAAATATTAAACACTATTTATTAGATTTTTATTTGCAAGAATAATTTTATATTTACAACATTCTAAAAACCAATGTAATTGTATTAAAACTAATGCAGTTCAATATTTATTATTTATCAATTTATAAAAAAAAATAAATATTTACAAAAAAATTAACTATTTACGTCATTCGGACTGTTATCCTCATCTTTATCGACATATTCATATTTCGGCTTTTGTACACTCTGGCATTCTTCAGGTGACATACATTGGCATTTTGAAACAAACACTTTATTTAGTCCATGGGTGGAGATTGTTCTAATTCCATGTGTCATACCTTTTTTGGACTGTCCTGAGTATGAATAAACTACATCCATGTCCAGGGTAAGACAATAAACTATATTCAGCAGCAAGACCTCTGATCAGGAGGTTTCAAGAAGCGTGGAACCACCTCTTAATTGCTGGTGTTCCCAGGTCCACCCTGACCTGGGGTGGTAGCACCTGTTAGGGTCCCAGTTATAGGTAAATAGTTAACCCTGAAACTGAGGTAAAAACCGTTATGAAACTGTAAAAATAGGTTTTATTATCGGAAATACTTTGTAAAAAAAAAAAAAAAAAAAAAAATTATGACCAGAAATAAATATTTCAAGGAAAAAACTATTACCATACCAGCAATATATTTTTGAAGAAAAAATATTACCAGCAATACATTTTTTAAAATAATATTACTAGCTATATGCTTTTGAGGAAAAAAAATATTACCAGAAATAGATTTTTGAAAAAACAAAATATTATCACGAAAAAAAATTTCTGAGATGAGGTATTATGTACACTATTTACATTATTCGGACTATTGTCCTCATCTTTGTCGCCATATTTATTACAACATTTCAGCTGTTGTACATTCTGGCCTTCTTCAGGTGGTTGGAATGTCAAACTTAACCCTTTATTTTGCTCACTGGGGTAGACTGTTCTAGTTCCATGTGCCATGATTAATGGATTTCAGTTATCCCCTGTTAATTTCCCTCTGAAAGTTCTCCATTGCCATAACCAGGTATTGAACTCACACTCTTTGAGTCTTGTCACTGGATCTAACCAGCGCCTTTTTTTTTTTTACTGTGCCTTGTGTCCTTGAGGACAATGGTCCGAATAATGTAAATAGTGAAAAAAAAGTTGTCAGCATTAAATAACCCATTGAGGTTGATATGCTGTAAACCAAACCAAACCTTTTTTGGATATCTCGGTTTCAGTTACTTGCCTATAGTAACTCAACTCTCCAAGTTAATGTTGCCTCTGCTGTGACCAGGTATTGAACTCGCAACTCTTTGGGTCAAGTCACTTTTTGGGTTACTTCAACCAACATTTTTATCCATATGACCCAGCAATAATTGTTAACACATCAGCAGTTGAACTAGAGAAGTGAAAGCCATATTGCTTATCTGAAAGAAGACTCTGCAGTAGTGAGATGCTTAACCAATTCAGAGTTAATTAGAGCCTCTAGTACTTTACCAAAGTGAGGTAGATGGCTCATAGGCCAATAGTTAGAAGGATCAGATGGTTCGCTTGAGTTTTTTTATGACGTTGGATGGCTTCGCTTGTCACTTTTGCTATGTCAAGCAAAAGCTTGTTATTACTTCCAGAAATGCTTGTTATATTAGACTTTGTAGTTGCTGGTACTAGTAGTAACGCCTTCCAATAATATCCGCACTAGTAATACTTGTTCAAGTAGTAATTGCCAAATAGTATAATGATCAGAAGAGAATCATAATCCATATAGTAGCAGAGAGAGTGAACGTATAGCAATAGTGGATAAATAAGAAGATAAACAGTGATTCTTACACTACTTTAGATTTATTCACTTCCTTTATGATCACATGATCTACTTAATGGAATCACCCGTTTTACTCACTGGAGATCTAGTTTCAAACCACAATGTTGGCAACGACACTCATTCTTATACAAGTTTTTAAAGACTGCAACAACAGAAGAGGATTTCCAACAAGTTGGAAAGCAATAAGCAACAATGCATTTATTGTAGAGTTTAGAGAGACTAGGAGCCAGTTCAGGAGTAAATTTCTTAATAACTATTACAGGGATACCATCTAATCCACATGCATCATGAGGATCTAATTTAGAGATAATAGGAGAAAACATGGATAGAGTTTTATGCCTATCACTCAACAGAGACTCAGTTCAAAGTGGAAAGTCAGGTAAAGGTACTCCAAATGAGTGAATTTGAAGAAAATTTATAATCAAAAGATTCTGCTTTATCAGCAGATGTTAACACCTCAAATTGAGTGAAGAGATGAGGAACAGAAGATTTACTCTTATTTTAACACACTATTACAGAGCCACCAGTAGTCACAAGAACCAAAATTATTAGAGGCTATAATGTGTTTCATTCTATTAGCAAATAAGGACTTGTCCTCCTTGAGGACACATTTACGATTATTGTAAGCAGACACAAATAGGCATCTGTATCTCACTGTACCAGTGAGATACAGATGCCTATTTGTGTCTGCTTACAATAATAATGTACCAACTGGAAAAAAACTGATTCTTGTGGGCTATTATAGTGGCTGATAAAGTTTATGGTTTCACCTGTTATTTACAAGGAGGTACAAAAATATCAATGCCTGCTTTTAACCTAAGAAGAAACCTCTGTGGTACAATTCCCAATTGGATGGTTAAGAATATTAATCCAAGGGGCACTCAATTAAAGTTACAAAATGTATCCTGATCAGTATGCTGATTATTTTACTAAACTATTAAAATATGTGAACCAACAATAAGGAAATCATTATTTACCATTTTTATAAGGTTTGGATTGATTCGCAGTTAGCCAATGTTTTGTCAACCATTCCAATAAGCAATATGATAAATAGTGTAAAGGAACAATCTAATAATATTTACTATTTTTGTTGTAAATTCTCAATAACAAAGAAAATGTATAAATTCATTTTCATATGGTTAGGTTTTCATTAAAAATTTTAATCATCGCTTTTTAAAACAATAGACATTACGTAGGAGAGAAATTAATTGAAAATAATAGCAATGTCAATTAAAAAAAAACCATCCTTTTGAAACGCTCACTATTTCTTTTGCGGGTATAGCAGTTAAAGATTGCCAGTAATTCCATGTACAATCTCGATTTAAGTAGAAGAGTATACTGCCCCATAGAAATAGTCATCTAACAGATTATGAGGGTTTTAGTATAAAATATAGTTACTTCTGAATAGTAAACATGTAGCACTTGTTCTTATCAGCTTAATATCTGATACTTTCCCCTATGTGTCACTTTGATATTAAACTGATTTTTTTGGGGACAAGGTGAAGAGTTAGGGGCTTGCACCATCTTTGCCACAGGTTGGTTTGGTATTGTAGTACTTCCAGGAGCCAGCCCAGTCTCCCAACCAAGGGAGATAAAAGTCAAATCCAAAAACTGACCTCCTCCTTCATCCCCACACCTTTTCTCAACAGATACGGTATCTTTAGTTTGTTTCGTTTGTTAATACCCATGATATTTTGTTA